ACTATCTGGCCACGCAATTATCTAGCGAAGGCGGCAGCCATGAAAGTGGCGAAGACGACAGCGACGACGAGACGAGTTCACTTCCCAGATCCGGCAGCCCGGAGCTCTCGCTCTCCGCTGCTTTTAATCTACTCAGCGCGGCCTGGCTCCGCCCTGGCCGCGCCTCCCTTCTCGAACTCACTAGCGGGTTCCAGAGGCTTCCAGACGGGGTCTCTGTGACCCTTGCCCAAGTTCCTCCGCCCTACTGACACACCCGCGTAAGTGGTCACCGGCGTGTGTACGACTCCGTCCACCGCAGTTCCATTGCTGGACAACAGACGGCGCTATTACACTACACCTTGTATAAATGTCGTGCAGGAGGAGGCACGCCTGGAGAACAATCGCTTTCATGTGCAATGGTTTGAATTGTGTCTGTGTAACGGTTATATAATCACAAACTTCGGGGACCCTGAGCCACTTGAACAATGTTTTGAAATTGGTTGATGGCCACTGACACCCATTATGATTTAAAATGTCGAGTTGTTTGAATAATCATTATTATCATCATCGGAAATGGTCACGCCTCTACTGGAGGAAAGCCTCCCCTAGCTACCGCCAACTCTTGCAAACCACCTGACACTCGCACACGAGCTCATTTCATCGCTCCATCTCCGCGGTGGACATCACTCTCGGAAGTTTTCCATTCCGTGGTTGCTGCTCCCCATCGTTATTCTTGACCATAAGTCACCTTCTCTGTTCATTGGCGTGTCCTGCCAAAGAACGACTTTACTTAACAGTTTGAATGATATTCTTGGTTCTTTCGGTAAAGTCACGTAGAAGGGAAACAATAAAATAATAAAAATATAAAACAATAAAATTCACTTTTTCAAATTTTCTTGTTGTGGTTTGCAGTCGAAACGTCGTGAGAATTTATTGTTTTATATTTTTCTTATTTTATTGTTTCCCTTCTACGTGACTTTACCGAAAGAACCAAGAATATGAATCTCTGCAGTCACGAAAGCTTTAAATCAAAAGTTTGAATGATGTCATTCGCCTACGTATATTATATGATCCACGTTATCCTCTTTCTCTCTCAATGTGATGTCGTTTCGATTGATCACTTGAAATTAACCCCACTGTGATCAATTAAAACACTCCTTAATGGAGGTGGAAATATTACAATCTGGGAGATTCCTGAAATGAGTTCTGAGACTGGTAGTCTTCCCTGGATAAGATGATTTTCTCACGATTTACCTTTGAATTATTTAGGCGTGTATTCGCGTTTTCCTGTTGACAGTTAATCGCACGCAGATGCTATGTTTAATTTATTGTACGTGTTAATAATGGCCACATCAGACTGTCGGAAAGCCTGCACGTTTTTTCCTGTCAACCTAGAAATGATCTGTTTACACAAGTGAACGGTAATGATAATGAAAAATATAGGTGAATAAAAATCAATATTTGCTTCACCTTGCGAACTGGAAAGGGTGAATGCGGTGTCCTTGTCTAGTTGGCATGCTGTATACTACAGGCTATGTAACATACTGTAAAGGCTGCGATTAAATACTACGTTCGGCTTACTTACAATTCGTTGGTTATCAGATCAATGTGTACTATTGCAGAGTTTCTCGCTGTTGTTCTGTGAAGCTCTTGAATGTGATTTCGGGTTGTACCGCGTGCTGTCAAGCATGATGTCCGACGTATCGTTTCCAAGTGCTGAGAAGCTTCTTCAGGTACTGAGCGATAAACGTCGGACGTCGTGCAGAAACAACACGCGGTACAACCCGAAAACACATCGCAGTGTTCGAGTGATGTGGGCTTCCTCGCTGGAGAGGATGTCTCTCGCCCCGAGGCTGACAGAAAAGGGTTAACTCAACTTCCAGCCTGTGAATTTTGCTCGAAGACAAAAGCACAAATCCTGCTGTTCACGACTGTTTAACGTCACTGCAGGCCAGATCTGGTTTAACCACAAATCTCTCATCGTCATCGTCACATCTGGCGTTTAAACAGAACGAATGGGACATTTTGGAAGACCAATAAATCGTGCATTTCACAATTTCCGCACGGGCAGATGCGGCGAGCCACATGGTGTAATTAATTTAAGATCTGAGTATCTGGAGGTGGCTCCGGGGCCTTGGGGTTAGGGCACTGAGCTCGCGCTGTGATTAAAATGGGTTCACAAATGTTGCGAGTTAGGAGCCACAGGCCCGACCTCCACTGACTGTAAAGTGAACCCCATCATATTAAATGTGGGTACTCTACTGTATTCACTTCATTTGTTGTCCTTGGTTGGCTACGTACTGTGCGAAAGAAAGTTCTACAGCCATACATTTGGCTTATTATAGCTCTGAAATTTTAAAATGTCAGGTTGCATTGGTATGCGACGAGACATCTTTTAAGAAGTATTCGTTGCCAAAGCCATTTGAGATACCACCACACCTCAGTAACGCTTTCTACCACCCGATTCCAGATTCTACAGCCAGCTGCTACACGGTAGATATACGGACCTCCAAGATCTTCCCTCAGTATCTCACTACCTGCTCATAGGTCTTCTACTTGGTCGCCGGTTTCGTGGAGACTACAGTACTTGAATGCCTGGGTAATGTGTTGATTACTTGAGGCAAGATGTGCTCCTCAGAGGTCAATGTTACGCACAAAGCACTGGGAAGAGTGGACTACAGATTGTCTCTATTGTTGCGTCCATTCGCCATCAACACAGCAATCTTGACGGGGAATATACATACAGTATGCGTGTCCCTAGGGTGGCTAACGACTTCTAAAAATTGACTTAAAATTGTTTAGTGATGTCATCTTGTTGTCTGATACAGGGTGATATACTGCAAGCTGTAGGTTTCACCGACTGCATATCATGACACTGAAATACTTTGCTATCTGATCATTTCTCTTTGGTTCTTTCGGTAAAGTCACGTAGAAAGAAAATAAATTAAATAATAATAGAATACGCCGTTTCGATTGCAACACAAGCAACCATCATCATGCAAGAATGAATGAGAAAACAAACATAATAAACTTAGACATATGTCATGGGACCTCCTTTGCTAGTACCAAAAATATGAGAATAGGTTAGAAATAAAATGTAATACAACACAGAGAGTCGGCTAACACAACAGTCAACACCCGACCTGGTTGATTACGTTCTTCCAAAGATTGCTACATTTGAGAGGGAGACATAACACAGACACGGAGACACATACACAGACACACACGCAGAGAGGGACACACATAGAGACACAGAGAGAGAGACACACACACACATAGACAAACAGAAAGATACAGTCACGAAAGCATCGAATCTATCTGTGTCAAGTAGTGTCCTACTTGACACTTTGAGTGTCAAGTAGGACACTCAAAGTGTCAAGTAGGACACTCAAAGTCCACCACCGGTCATAGGCATCAACACATAACTGAGCGAAGGAGAATTCCCTGCGGCAAGTGACTTTACGCGGTAGGGGCTGAGTGAAAAGTTGACTTGCAAGTGGCAGCAAGTGACACCCAGTGGTGACCCAGACATGTTTGTGTTTTCCAGCCAACGGCCCTCGGCGGATTCACGTTGTCGCTTGGCAATTCGCGAGATCGGAAAACGTGTGTGCCCAGGTTCCTAATAATGATATGTTGTCCATCTGTAGCACACGTGGCTTAGGGGGGGGGGGGGGGGGGCGGTGGTGATTGTGAGCGTGTTTGACAATAAAATAATCTATTTGGTGATGCCACGTTAATAGTAGATGCACGAGCACAAATCACAAGCAAACTCTTAAAAGGTTCGTCAATAACATCGTGGCCTTCAAAGGAAACATATAACAGGCGACGTCTGCTCTTCACCACTGGTATAATGCATATGATTGTAGGGAGTGCGTGCACATCACCACTGGTGCAGGGTGTCTGCACTCACCCACCATCCGGTGCAGGGTGTCTGCACATCACCCACCACCCGTGCAGGGTGTCTGCACATCACACACCACCCGTGCAGGGTGTCTGCACATCACACACCACCGGTGCAGGGTGTCTGCACATCATCCACCACCGGTGCAGGGTGTCTGCACATCACCCACAACCCGTGCAGGGTGTCTGCACTTCACCCACCACCGGTGCAGGGTGTCTGCACATCACACACCACCGGTGCAGGGTGCCTGCACATCACCCACCACCGGTGCAGGGTGTCTGCACATCACGCACCACCGGTGCAGGGTGTCTGCACATCACCCACAACCCGTGCAGGGTGTCTGCACTTCACCCACCACCGGTGCAGGGTGTCTGCACATCACCCACCACCGGTGCAGGGTGTCTGCACATCACGCACCACCGGTGCAGGGTGTCTGCACATCACACACCACCGGTGCAGGGTGTCTGCACATCACACACCACCGGTGCAGGGTGTCTGCACATGACCCACCACCGGTGCAGGGTGTCTGCACATCACCCACCACCGGTGCAGGGTGTCTGCACATAACCCACCACCTGTGCAGGGTGCCTGCACATCATCCACCACCGGTGCAAGGTGCCTGCACATCACCCACTACCGGTGCAGGGTGCCTGCACATCACCCACCACCGGTGCAGGGTGTCTGCACCTCACCCACCACCGGTGCAGGGTGTCTGCACATCACCCTACTACCTGTTCAGGGTGCCTGCACATCACCCACCACCGGTACAGGATGCCTGCACTTCACCCACCACCTGTGCAGGGTGTCTGCACTTCACCCACCACCGGTGCAGGGTGTCTGCACATCACCCACAACAGGTGCAGGGTGTCTGCAATTCACCCACCACCGGTGCAGGGTGTCTGCACATCACCCACAACCCGTACAGGGTGTCTGCACATCACCCACCACCTGTGCAGGGTGTCTGCACATCACCCACCACCTAGGCAGGGTGTCTGCACATCACGCACCACCGGTGCAGGGTGTCTCTGGCTGTCACTCCTGCACGCTGTATCGCCGCGCGCGCTGATTGGCTGTCCGCACCGCACGCGTGACGACATCGGAAGCCTGGGCCGTGGTCTCTGTGTGGTGTCGGTGTTGGTGTACACGTGAGTCGGTGTTGGTGTACACGTGAGTCTGTGTTGGTGTACACGTGAGTCTGTGTTGGTGTACACGTGTGTGAGTTTGTGTTGGTGTTCACGTGAGTCTCTGTGGTGTCTACGTGTGTGTGGTGTACACGTGTGTGCAATTGTGTACACGCTTGTGTGTGTATATTTGTCTCCGTGTTGAGAACAAGCCGGCGTTCTTCGACGGTATGTTATTTTTTTTGCAAAGGCTATGCGACTACACTTTTACATCAATCGTACAGCGTATAACCGCATACACGCACACACAAGACAGCATGTGAGTGTGTGCAGCGTGAACACGCTTGTGTGTACGTGTGTGTGTGTGTTAACATTTAGGCTAGCCTGCCTACGATCCATCCTGGGTTTAACCAGCAGGCTGGATTGTGTGAGGAGCTCACAAATCCTTGAAAGATCTGGGCAAGGTAGAGAAGAGATGGAGTGATGTGGTACAGGAGGCACGGGCTAGAGAAGAGATGGAGTGATGTGGTACAGGAGGCACGGGGCTAGAGAAGAGATGGAGTGATGTGGTACAGGAGGCACGGGCTAGAGAAGAGATGGAGTGATGTGGTACAGGAGGCACGGGCTAGTGAAGAGATGGAGTGATGTGGTACAGGAGGCACGGGGCTAGAGAAGAGATGGAGTGATGTGGTACAGGAGGCACGGGCTAGAGAAGAGATGGAGTGATGTGGTACAGGAGGCACGGGGCTAGAGAAGAGATGGAGTGATGTGGTACAGGAGGCACGGGCTAGAGAAGAGATGGAGTGACGTGGTACAGGAGGCATGGGCTAGAGAAGAGATGGAGTGATGTGGTACAGGAGGCACGGGCTAGAGAAGAGATGGAGTGATGTGGTACAGGAGGCACGGGCTAGAGAAGAGATGGAGTGATGTGGTACAGGAGGCACGGGCTAGAGAAGAGATGGAGTGATGTGGTACAGGAGGCACGGGGCTAGAGAAGAGATGGAGTAATGTGGTACAGGAGGCACGGGGCTAGAGAAGAGATGGAGTGACGTGGTACAGGAGGCACGGGCTAGAGAAGAGATGGAGTGATGTGGTACAGGAGGCACGGGCTAGAGAAGAGATGGAGTTATGTGGTACAGGAGGACGCGGAGCTGAGTGGACTTGCCGATGACTGGTACCAGCGGTGTCAAGATCGGCCTCTGTAGAGGAGGTTCGTGAAGGACGCTACTGGGCAGTTGGAGGCAGTCGCCCTCCAACAACAACGGAGGGCGGAGGAGTGACGCTCACAACAACGAGCGGAGCGCCGGGGTGGCTAAAGCACAGCAGGTTGGCACAGTAGTGGGCACAGGTGGTGCATCAGCCGGTCATCTCAGTCAGTCGACCCGTGGCACCTGGGTCTGCCCCGTGACCTGCCAGCGGGCGTTCGACACTTCACGTGTGTGTTAATGTAGTGAGTGTGTGTTAATGTAGTACGTGTGTGTGTTAATGTAGGTAGTGTGAGTGTTAATGTAGGTAGTGTGAGTGTTAATGTAGTGTGTGTGAGTGTTAACGTAGTGTGAGTGTTAACGTAGTGTGTGTTAATGTAGTGTGTGTTAATGTAGTGTGTGTGTTAATGTAGTACGTGTGAGTGTTAATGTAGTGAGTGTGAGTGTTAACGTAGTACGTGTGAGAGTGTGCACAAGGTAACAATATCGCTACTTGCCCTATGACCTACATACGTACAGTGCACATGCGCACACGTGGAAGTGGCTGTAGTTTGTACGCACCCGCGTATACTACGTGTGTGTACGTGTGTATACTACGTGTGTTTGTACACTACGTGTGTATACTACATGTGTTTGTGTGTATACTACGTGTGTGTACGTGTGTATACTACGTGTGTTTGTACACTACGTGTGTTTGTACACTACGTGTGTGTGTACACTACGTGTGTGTGTACGTGTGTGTACACTACGTGTGTGTGTACACTACGTGTGTATACTACGTGTGTGTACACTACGTATGTGTGTACGTGTGTATACTACGTATGTTTGTACACTACGTGTGTATACTACGTGTGTGTATACACTACGTGTGTGTGTACGTGTGTATACTACGCGTGTTTGTACACTACGTGTGTGTGTACGCTACGTGTGTGTACGTGTGTATACTACGTGTGTGTACACTACGTGTGTATACTACGTGTGTGTACGTGTGTATACTACGTGTGTTTGTACACTACGTGTGTGTACGTGTGTGTGTACGTATGTATACTACGTGTGTGTACACTACGTATGTGTGTACGTGTGTATACTACATGTGTGTGTACACTACGTGTGTATACTACGTGTGAGTGTACACTACGTGTGTGTACGTGTACACTACGTGTGTGTACACTTCGTGTGTACACTACGTGTGTGTGTACACTACGTGTGTACACTAGTGTGTGTAGGTGCAGTACGTGTGTGTACACTACGTGTGTGTACGAGTGTGTAGTATGTGTGTGCAGTACGTGTATGTGCAGTACGTGTGTGTACACGTGTGTGTATACACGATGTGTGTGTATAGACGACGTGTGTGTGTACACTACGTGTGTGTGTACATCCCCCTCCCCGTGGCCTCTGCGTCCTCTGAAGGAGCCGTTCCCCGAAACGTCGTGTGTACACTTGTATGTGTGTGTACTCGTGTGTGTGTACACGTGTGTGTGTACACGTGTGTGTGTACACGTGTAACAGGGCAGCTTGCGCGTTCTTGGCGCGGTTTGTTCGCATTAGGCCACAGAGAAGCTTTGTTAAAGACGAGCGATGGATAAAACATCGCGTAGCGAGGCCCATGTTAACACATGCATGTGGAACTTCTTACGTGTGTGTACACACGCCTGCACACGTGTGTGTGCTGCACGTGTGTGCTGCGCTACGTGTGTGTGTGCTGCACGTGTGTGTGTGTGCTGTGCGACGTGTATGCGTGCTGCACATTGCACACGTGCGCTGCACTTTGCACACGCGTGCTGCACATGGAACACACGTGCTGCACATTGCACACGCGTTGCACACGTGCGCTGCACATTGCACACGCGTGCTGCACATGGAACACACGTGCTGCACATTGCACACGCGTGCTGCACATGGAACACACGTGCTGCACATTGCACACGCGTTGCACACGTGCGCTGCACATTGCACACGCGTGCTGCACAAGGAACACACGTGCTGCACATTGCACACGCGTGCTGCACATGGAACACACGTGCTGCACATTGCACACGCGTGCTGCACGCGCGCGCTGCACACGCGTGCTGCATTGCTGTTACACAGAGGTTGGGGTGTTGAGATGTACTCATGTATATATGGAGATCCCATTGTTGAGAGAATACAGGGAATCTTAAGAATGCGAGAGAGCTGCAGTTCGTAATTGCATAGGAACAGTTTTCACGTGAGTTTTTTTTTTGCCACGTATTTTATGTTCATTTCGATCTTTTTGTTATATTTTGACCTTGCATCCGAATGAAAAACTGTTCTTTTGTCAATTTCATAGCAGGCACATTTTTCTCAGGGTCAAAGTGTGAATTGTTATCTTCAACGATGTCACCGCTTCTCCCTACCCATGCCCCCCCCTCCTCTCAGGAAGGGTTTTTGGCCAAAGCATTAGCCTATTTTTTTCTTATAAACCAGTCTTAATCATCGTAATGTTCTTACCACGTTCCCATGGGCTCCATTCCCTTCCCCCAAGCCATCCCGTACCATGAGCTCCTAACATGATTCATCCCATTCCTATATATTACCTTGAGCATCATTGCCCTATTTATCCTTTCCCATTTTTTAAAATCTCCATTCTCTTGGGACTGCTGGATCCTGCTGGAGTCTCGTGATAATGTCACTCGCTACTAAGAGCCCTACAGCCTGCGTTCGATTCCCAGCCACGGCTAACACCAGTGGCAAGTGATTTTGAGTAATATCTGACAATGTCTGCTTCTGTCTTCTTACCAACCCGCACTGATCATTGTGGTGACGTATGGTTAAATCAACCCCATGACCAAAAGAGTAGGGGGCCTTCGTTCAAACTTTGATTGAAAAAAGGTATTTCTTTTTATTGTCACATTCCTAAGTTGCACTAAAATACAATGCTCTATACAACATTAACGCCACCAGTGCTTTCGATGTAAAGCTTTCGTGACTGCAATGATTCATCTTCTTTGGTTCTTTCGGTAAAGTCGCTTAGAATGAGAATAAAATAATAAAATAAGACAATTAAATTCTCACATCGTTTCAGCCACAACACAAGTAGCCTTCAGGTGAAAGAACAGAACTGTCGGGACGACATTCAAGTTCTGTCGTCCCGACAGTTATGTTCTTTCATCTGAAGAAGGCTACTTGTGTTGTGGCTGAAACGTCGTGAGAATTTTATTGTCTTATTTTATTTTATTCTCATTCTACGTGACTACCGAAAGAACCAAAGAAGCCATCAGTGCTGTTTGGTTATTAACCAAATTGCGACATGCCGCAATACTGCAAACAGTCCTATCATAAGAATGTAGATTTGCTTTGGACTGCCACGAAAGGTAAACCGTGTTCACTAGCCTTTTGAGCAGGGAGACTTTAGACTATTTCTGTGTTCCTCATTACGGCTTGAGACGGACACTGCAGGGACATGACGGACATTCTCGTGTGGCTCATACGTTATGTTTTGCAGAAGCTTCTCTTTTCACTGTGTATGCTATTTGTACTGAGTGAAAGCACCAATAAGGATTGTCGAGATACAGCGATACTGTGACACACCATACGATATAAGGTCCACTAAAATCGCATTGTCTGTTATTATCATGGCTGCTCACATTGAAATGCAATATACGAAATGTACATGATGCAATGTACCAATCCTCGCCTCCAAAGCACTGCCATTCACGGCTGCTGTGTTTCGCTGCCCACAGACATGAACCGGGCAGCGGTGATTTTGCAGCACCTGGCGCCGCGGGGCGGTGGTGCCACCCCTCGCTCCGTTTCGTCAGCTGGCGCAAGAGTGGTCCCTTTTGTGCCGCAGACGGACGATGACATTGTGGTGGTGCACGGCGTGCGCACGCCCTTTGGCAGAGCAAAGCGCGGGGTCTTTAAGGTGCCACCGCATCCAACGTCAGCACAGGGCGACCAAGCAGATTTTATTTATTTGACAAATGGAGCATATTTCTGCATTCCTCAATTTGCATTTACACTTTTTCACGGTCTACACTGTTTTACGATATGGTGCAGAGCCATGGGCATCAGGGAAGATGTTAGAAGGAGCTCTTGAAAGGACAGACATGAGAATCCTAAGTTGGATGTTGGGAATATCTCTGATATTTCACTAAGATGGATGTTGGGGATATTTCTGAGGGAAACGAAGCTTAATGAAGACAGAGGCTTAGAAAGGGTTACTAATATTCTTGTGAGGGTCAGTGTGGTTCGACTTTGAAAGTTTTGAACTGTGCTGATAAGGGCTATGGAGATGCTAGTGCAGGGCAGAAGGAGGAGTATATGGATTAAAAACGTTAACTTAAAGGGATCTCAGAGATAATTATGTAATATCTGTTTCCTTAGATCATTCTCTTAAGGAGTTATGAATGGCTCCTTTGTCTCGACATTTGGAATAAAAATTTGTCCAGACATTTACAAATATTGTGTCTACAGATGAATTACCTAAATAATCTGATGTCTGTGTCATGGGCTGTGTGTGGGAATGTGAATTTGGTGCTTGAGATTTTATCTGTTTGTGCCATATTCCACTTGCAGGACACAATGGTTGATGAGCTTCTGATAGCCGTTATGACAGGCCTGCTCAAGGCCACCAAACTCCAGCCAAGCCAACTCGGGGACATCTGTGTGGGTGGGTGGCCACATCCTGTCCTTTATAAGTTATCACCATCGTCAATTAGCCTTGATCAATCCACTGCTAGATGAAGGCCTCCTTTAGGCTGCCGCCATCTCATTTTTAAGCGGCAAGAAATGTGTGCTTTACATTTGTTGCTGTAACATCAGCAGTTGATTAACTGTCAAAAACGTCAAACATACACATCACATACCTAATTTAAAATGACTCTTTTCTCTATCAAGCAGATTAATGTGCTGATGTGTGTGCCAGCTAAACTGGGATTAAAAGGTAAAGGTTCAGACCTGTAAACTGCTTTCTCACGCCACTGCTGGCATAAGGGCCTTTACTAGTGGGAACTCTAAACAGCCCCTCGAGAGTCGTATTTTTGCTTTCTACTTTCATGCTGGCTAGACATCTGCTGATTGACTGTGGCCTACCCAGTTTTACTGCTGGGTGGACAGAGGCGATGGAGGGTTTTAATAATCTTGCAACATTTTGTCAACTGCCGCGCTGGGAGATTGAACCGTCGACCTCTGGATTGCAAGTCCAAAATGCGAACCATAACACCTTGGCAGTCTCCCGGAATTAAGAGTCACACTATAAATAGCAAATTTCAGCAAACGAGAGCTCTAAATTGCTGGGCAAAGTTCAAGTTTTTGCCTTTGTACCAATATAATGTTTTTGTTCCCCAGCATGACGGTGAAAATAAATATGTGTGTAGCAGCAACATTGAAAATTGGAATAAAACGTCCTTGCTAAACAAATAATAACATTTGTCTGGCAATTGCATAATATTGCCTTTGTGTTAATGTGGCCTAGAAACCCCTGCCACTTCAATCTACGCATTCAACCTGCACCTCATGGTATTGTTGGTGAATCTGGCTGTCTTCCCTGCAGTGCAGCAACATCAGTGCGAGCCAGATTAAACCTCTCCTCCAAGGACGATTAAAACATTGTCGTCACTTATTCAGACACACTTGTCTATTTTAAATAGAATATGAATGAAGATTTCAAGAGCATATGTGTTTCTTTGTAACATCTCGAATGGAACGAGAGTGCTCAGCTGTGAGGCAACGACTATTATTTTATTGTTTCCCTTCTACGTGATTTTACCGAAAGAACCAAGAATATTAGAAGGGCGGCAATTTATTTCCTCAGCATTCACACTTCACATGCAGGCGTGATGAATAAATAAGTGGTGGTGTGTCGCAAGAGGCAAGAGTAATGCCCCTCTCATCTCATTCTACTCCCTATGACCTGCCCTGCGCTCTGGCAACCAACGGCTCCTATCAAAAACCTCAGTTGACATTCACACAATGGGAGGTCGCTCCCTCTCATCTGCTGTCCTCATGGGAATTCCCTTCCTCTAGCTGTCAGCACTGCTGAGACTGTTTCTCTGTTCAAGTCTAGGCTCATGACTTTCATCTGCTCTTCTGCATATGACGATGTCCCGATAGCAGTATCTTAATTTTCCAGTGCATATTCTATTCTTGCATATGCCGATATGTTCAGGAGTGAGATGCGACTGTTGAGGTCTGCTAGCCACGACGAGAGGTCTTGAGGAGAGTTTGTGTAGGTTTGCTATTCCTCCTCCGTTGAAGGAGCACTGACTATAGTGGCTTAACAATCTGGTTCCATAGATTGGGTTACATGGCCACAGGCGCACTGTGGCTTGTGTTGAATCTCCATTTATGAAGGAAATGTACACATCGGCCTGTTGATGTTCTGATTTGTTTGATGGCTACACCAATGTCTTTGAGGAATGTCAAAGCCAGGAAGTGCGATTTTTGTCTCGAATAAGGTGTTTATTCCGGACGTCTGTGCATATGACTCTCACAATGAATTGTCTTTGCACTTCTAGCGTGACATCATCTTAGCTCTTTCTCCTAATTTCCTTGCGATTAAAAAAGTCCATGTTTCCCCATTTTTGTATAGCTTGTTGAAAAGCGGTATCTTGGTTTACAGCCCATTGTTAATCCACTGCTGGATGAAGCCTCCCCACACTGGATCAGTCAGGGTTGTTTTAACCATATTTCACCATGCTGGGTAGTGCGGATTGGTGAAAGACGTGGTCAAGGGGATATCCAAAGATGGTTAAGATATCGCTCTTCCACTGATGTTAGCTATGGCTGGTAATCCAGTTCAGGTTGCAGGATTCATAGTGCAGGCCACTAACCACTGTGCTGATGTGCAGCCCTGAAATTTTTTTCTCATGCCACTTCTTGCAGAAGGCACTCCACTAGAGAGCCTCCGTAGATGGAATTTGTGCCTACTCTTTCACACTGGCCATACATTTTAGAAGAGGTGGGTGTACCCGCACTTTATTCCACCACATTAACATATCAATCAACTATTTTTGGTGGAACCATTTATACTGCTGGGTTAAGAGAGGCTGGGGAATTCTAATGAATGTTCCCATTGTTTCATCTGTCACAAAGGGAAGTGAAATCGCACCGGCGACCTCTGCATTGCATGTCCAGTGAGCTAACCATTGTATCACGGCAGCATCCCTATGAATGTTAAATTATGTTTAAGCCCTAATTGAATTGCAATTGTAATGCTTTGTCTGGCTGTGTGTGCCACATGCAGGGAACGTGCTGCAGCCGGGAGCAGGTGCCGTCATTGCCAGGATTGCGCAGTTTCTCAGGTAACCACGAGGATGAGCTCCACCAGGAAATAATTTCAGGCGGGTCAACCCGGGCACCCGGCACACTGCATCCAGTATACCAATGGCTATGGCTGCTGCCAGTGACCCGAATAATATTTTCTAATCCAGCACACCACAAAAAGTATGCCTCTCACTTTGGCTGTGGTTACTAGTCGCGTGCCTACTGCGATCTACCAACGCCCCGGAAAATATTTCTGCAACCAACACACCACGTCTAGTATAACTCTCGCTATAATTGTGTCTGCCAGTCACGTGCCAACCAGACAGTATTACCGCGCCCGCCACACTGCATCCAGTATACCTCTCGTTAAAGCTGCAGCTACGAGTCACGTGCCACTTCCCGGACTTTGTGCCTGGAGATGTTGGTAACCTTTTTTTACGGGGTCAATGCCTGTTTTGCTCTACGGTGCTGTCTCTAGTCGTACTCCAGTCTGCCAGCCACCTGGAAAATAATCAGTGAGAAATTAAGCTCTGAATGCCACACTTTGGCTGTGAAGAAAGGACATTGATTATGGTGGATTCATAAGGACATTATATATGCACCGCTAGCTTCTGAGTGTTGAAATTAATCGTGGGAATTAATTTATTTAATATATGTAAAATAATTGCTTTGACAGCTTATAATTTGCACAATTCGTTTTATAAGCATTTATATTAGATTTCATAGATCTGTGTAGATGTACATCCCTTTATTATGCCAATTCACTGTTAGATGAGGGCTTCACCACACCCATGTGAGTTGAGGGGATTATTTGACCATACCTCACCATGCTGCTTACTGTGGGTAGGTGAAGACAGGGAGCATAGATGTTGGGGCATAGTACAGTGCGACAGTGTGCTGCTGTCCTGCTTACAACGTAACCCCACAGACGCCTACAGCACCTGTTTTACGTATGGTAGTCACCATTCTAAGCATTGTCCAGGCTCAATCCTCCTTATCTTGCAAGATCTGAACAGATCGGTACATCCCGGGTGATTTTGAAATAGGCTTTGCATATACATATGCAATATATGTATATATTTTCTCTCGTACTCATACTGCGTTGGAACCTTCCAGAATATGTTTGATGTGACTTTCATAATCATTAACAAGTTTTGCAGCTGCATTGTGCAGATAACGGTGCTTATCTTTGTTAACTTTATTCATCCCTCTGCACCCCCCCTTTTCCCAACTTGCACTCCAGCGGTATTCCGGAGACCGTCCCCGTTTACTGTGTGAACAGGCAGTGCTCGTCTGGACTGCAAGCCTTCATTAACATCGCCGGTACCCGAGCACACACAGCACGCCCACACACCCACTCGTACACTTGGCATGCTTGCTTTTATTTCAAAATGAAACAATAATTCACACCCTTTTTAAATACGTTGATGAATGAAGGCCTTTCCACGTTTTGTGTTTGTCATGTGGGGGCTGTGTGTCCATTAGCTTCTTGAATTGCATCTTCCTTTACGCCTCTCCTGTACCGTCAATAACACACGCTGCTGTAAACAACAATGTCATTTGTGATACTTTCCTTGTTCGTCCACGTTGTCGTGCATGCTTGGAGCTGGCTGTTTTGGGTCCCAGGGGAGCGTGGTAAGAGGAGTGCTCCTGGGCACGACACAACAGGGCCTGGGAGAGAGGCAATGGATAAGACTTTGGTTAGCAATAGGGTCAGTGCTGCCGATTGGTTGCAGCGTTGTTGTTCAGACAACCACGATGCCCGTGACACAGTCTCTGCTGCCATGTCCCACTGCACTGTGTGTGTGCACAGGTGGAATACGCAATGGATCCTATGACATTGGCATGGCGTGCGGGTAAGCAAATTGCTTGATTGTGGGCACAAAGCGATGATTAAGTGGCTTCCATTCCAATCAGTGACACTTGTTTTCGCTGCCAGGTTGGTAATGTGATGGGGCATTTGCAGAGCTTGAAAGAAGGTAACTTTTACTCTTTTAAACCTAATGAAGTTAAATGTAAATACGGAAATAAAAATAGAAACTATAAAAGAACATACAGTTGTTTATAAATCGATTGCTGGATGAAGGGCCGTCCACGCCGTGTCAATCACGGGGCTGTTTGGGCATACTTGTCCACGGTGGTCAGTGTGGGTTGTTAGCGGGGGATTAGCCAGAACAAGCTCTGATATCACTCGCCACTGACGTTCGTTGTGGCTGTGAGTCGAACTCAGATTGCCAGGTTCATGGTCACGGTGTACGAGTCACTGTCACCACTGCAACCTTTTTTTTATCTCCAAATGAATATTTTATCAAACATAGAAATGTACAGCACACTCCAAGGTTCAAACAAATTGTGTCGTCAGTGTAACTACTACAAGATAAAAACATAGATGGCGAGGATACGAGTGGGTGAGTGGGTGGTGTTCGGTTGATAAGGGGAGCGGGTCCATTGTAAGCTGTGAAGAAAATGGAGCAAATTGATCAGATATTATTACATTATTACCTACTTAAACTATTATTACATTTCATTATTTAATCCACCATTAAACCATACCCAACATTACAGAGTGTGGAGCAGTGGCGCAGTGGTAAAGGAATTGAACTGTAAACCTGATGATCTGAGTTTGATTACTGGTGACTGCTAACATCAGAGGTCACGTGATAACTGAACCAGCCATGGGCTGTCCCTCTTCACCAATCTACACTGACCAGCATGGTGAATGCCTTCATTCAAAAGAGCAGTTAATTATTATTATCTTTTACCCCCCCCCCCTCATTAATAAGTGATTGACATACATATTTGATAACAATGGACAATCAGGATAAAAAACATGGAAATTAACATCGTAACTTCTTCACTTTCGGAATGACGTGTCGCACCATCCTGGCTTCTTTGTAATTGCACTTGGCCCAGGCATGCTGTAACACAGCGGTAATAATCGGAGAATGAGAGATAGAGAGTGAGAACCGCAGTCCCTTTCTCTGGAGCGAGCACTGCGGTGATGAGTGACAGCTGCATGCTCTCGGTGCTGTTCTCATGAAGCGTGGAGCTCATGTCTCGCGGTTCGCCTGGGGACCCAAAGAATGTCGGGGACGTGAGCTCGCGAATGATGGACGATGACAAGGCGCGGGACTGCCTCATCCCCATGGGGTGAGCTATGGCACACCGTTGAATGGTGGAGGGATTGCTGGGGATGATGCGATAAGGCCAAAAAATAAATAATGGCAGGGAGCAATACGGCAGCCAACTGCTCTATTTTAATGGCCTGCTGACCTCCGTTTTGCTGTATTTGTGTTGCTCTTTTGCAGCAGAGTGACAAGACATTCGTTCATAGATATAATGTTAATTCTTAATCTCACAACAGGTGCATTGAATCACGTGATTAAGGATCGACATTTAAGAAAAAAATCTCATGTTATCTGGAATGGCCCCGACAGCCACTAATCGCTGCTAAATTCAATCCCAATCCAGTCCCAGATCAACTTCAAGATCGCCCTCGGCATCTTCAATATCATCCATGCACTCGTCTCTGCTTGCCTCTTCACTCTCATTTCACTTTACTCCCTTCGACAAATCCTCCATTCTAACAACCAAGGTCTTCTGTTGAATCCCCCAGTCAACTTCGGCAGAGTGGAAAGTTGCTCCTTTTCCTCTGCTGTCAACGCCCTGACCCCTTCTCCTCTGCCGATACCTGAGCATATTTTGCGTTATGAAACAAATAAATAAACATTCCTCTTTTCCCCTTTTGATGTTCCATTGGTTTTCCATGGTGTCTTAGGATACGATTGCATTTAGATGCTATATCAAACTCCATCGTGATTGTGATCACAATCACCGCAAAGTAAAACAAAAAATCCATTATTGGAATAAATTACTGTGATTCATCAACTCCTTCCCGAGGTGGGTTGCATAATTATACCTCTTACTAAAGTGTCCGCTGATTAAGCTGGCAAATCATTTTCATCTTGGCAAACACACAGCCCCTGCCCTGTGGCACAGAGTCCTGCGATCGTGGATATACGGTAAACAAGTTTTTCCTTACAGGATATAATTTTATAATCCTAACTGGATGGTGTGTTTTGGTTTTACAATTTTATCTCATTTTAATCCTATTTTCACGTTGTGTTTTACCATTGTGTACTCAGTTAATGTGACATTGACCACATTATTTGTATGTAAATAGTTGTTGCTGTACAACATCCGGAGATGCTGCTCGTACTAAGACACTCAAACTGCAAATTAGGATTATTATTGATGGAGCGTGTGACCCGGGAGCATGGCCGTGTTGGTTGTGACTGTGGTGACGTCCCAGGTCCTGCCCCCCCCCCCCCCCCTGCAGGGTAACATCTGAGAACGTGGCAGAGCGGTACGGCATCACCAGGGAGGTGCAGGACGCCCTGGCTGTCGCCTCGCACCAAAAGTGGGTCCCTACCATCACACAGGAAACACCGCTGAGCGGTCGATGTGGGCGGCACAAAACAAAATGAAAACACGGGTAGATTTGTCACGAGAAAGTTGTAATTGGATCCAAGGCTTGCACAGATCATCAGTTGTGAAGCAGTGCTGTTGCAATTCCGTGTATTGGCAGTATAATCATTTATGTGTCTGGCCTATATATAAGCCATATATATATAATTTTAAAAGAACACTGTGCAGTTTGCAGAATTAAAATGTATCTTTTGGATGGTCCATTTATATCCTGGTGGGGGAGTGGTGGTGCAGCAGTTAGCACACTGTGCATTGAAGCGAACGATGCACATGGACCAGTGTGGTTAAGTATAGTAACAAACCCCATGACTGACACGGAGTGGGGAGGCTTCATCCAGCAGTTGATTGGCAAAGGGCTGTGTAACCATCATTATCGGCCATGACCAAGGCGCTGCTTTACGTAGGCCTCTCCAAGCTGTCGCCATCTCTCATGGTTCAGCGATCTAAGATTGACGACAAAACAAAATGTTTATCTCGGTAGGTGGTCGACTCAGCTCATCACATCCTCGGGTCATTAGATTGACTACTACATGTTAGTGGGACTTCAGTAGCCATTGTCCTATGAAAATACTGGCCCACACCAAAGGAATGGATTGCAGCCATGCCTCGGAGCCACCATCAGACGTGGGCATTATATTGAACAGGGCAACACATCACCTCTGTAACCTTGGAAAGCGACTAACAGTGCCGATGTGCGTAATTGTTGCGGTGACGGTGCCGTATTGGCCAGGGCGGCACGAGCCACCAAGCTGGGCCTATTCCAGGAGGAGATCGTGCCCGTGACCACAGTGGTGCTCTTGGGCGACGAGGAGAAAACCATCACCGTTACCCAGGATGAGGGCATCCGCCCGGACACCAGCATGGAGGGCCTGGCGCGGCTGCGGCCGGTCTTCAAGGAGAATGGCACCACCACCGCAGGTCGCGAATTCACTCAAATCATCTTGAATATATATTTTTTTCTCCTCACTGTAAACCACCTTACCCTACGCTTTGCACTTTAACATGCTGAGGCTGGTCGGATTCAATTGTTAACTAAGTCAACATTTTTATTTTAGTCTTAAGTCTAGTTGATAACAAACTGGAATTTTAGTCAGTCTACAAAGAAGACAGAAAATGATATGAAACAGAAGCAAAAAGATTAATGAATTATTGAATCCCTGATTGTGGGGGGGTAGTGAGGTAGTGAGTGGGTGGGCAAGGGTTGAATCATCACATGCCTACTTGAAACAAAGCAGGAGCCGTATTGCTACTTGGCCGTTACTACCGGCTGCATCCTGCACCCCCTCAAACCCGGCCAACCATTTCCCCTTCACATAGGAAACTCAAGTCAGGTGAGCGATGGCGCCGCAGCGGTGCTGGTGGCACGGCGGAGAGCAGCACGGGAGCTGGGGCTGCCTGTGCTGGGGGTGCTGCGGAGCTACGCCGTGGTGGGGGTGCCACCCGACGTCATGGGCATCGGCCCCGCGCTCGCCATCCCGGCCGCCCTGAGCCAGGCTGGTGAGAGATGCTTCAGCTCCTCTCTCGCACCACCCTATCGCCCTGCACTTGCACTGTAGCTTCGGATTCGCAGCGCACACCCTGACACATTGTGATTTGATGTAGAGAGAGCAGTTACGCGGCTTGGGTAATGGTCAATGTTATATTTGGTGTATGTGGTGAGTATTGGGGTGTCTTGGATCGTGTGTGTGTTGTGTCAATTGTGTATCTGTGGTGTGCGGGATGTGTTTAGGAGTGTGTGGTGTTTGTGTTAAACAGGTTATTCTTATTTTTCACAAACAGTTCAGTCGATGGCATTAGGTGTGAGAACTTATTTATGAATGCCCGTTAAAAGATGCAAGTGTTGGTGTTGAAATGCTAAATTAAGTGCCTGTTTTAATCTTTAGTAAATTCCTTCCATGCCTAAGTGTGTATGTATATTGCTGGCCATTCATCTGACACAACAGCCTTGCAATACTTTTCAGCTTATCTGATTTTGCACTGAAAACTTTTTCGATACCTCTAACACTCCCCTATATATCTTATTCAACAGGTTTGACAATCGATGACGTTGATGTGTTTGAAATCAATGAAGCCTTCGCCAGTCAGGTGAGTTGAGAAGTAGTGGGTTTCATTTATCCGGAATAAGTCGAAATATAGGTTCTACCCAGGTTTATTTTTCCTTGTTTTATATATTGCTCATGGGGACCCTTCAAAGAACCTGTGGAATGTTTCATGCTGCAGCTCCCTTGCAGTGGCGGTTACAGCGAATGATTCTCAGCAGCAGCCTTGGTGACTGAAGCAGCTCTTTTGTCAAACTGGCACGGGCTGTGTGCTGCTGCTACATCTCCAGTGTTGACAATGTGAGCAATAAAAAAAACCTTAAATGATTGTGCTGGTCAAGTAAAGGTCATCACAATCCACGACTCACATCTAATGCAGTGCACAGCAGTGATGTTTGTTTTCAGCCACCCCATTGGTTTATCCCATTGTCTGATGTCAGGGTGACATAAAACACTGTAACGTGTCAAAATCGCAGTCGCCAAAAGTAACAGAAGCATCAATCTGGCGTGGCCGGTGATGTGCCTTCACTGCAGGCGGCGTACTGTGTGAAGCGCCTGGGCATCCCCGCTGAGAAGCTGAACCCCAATGGAGGTGCCATCGCTCTGGGCCACCCATTGGGCTGCACGGGCACGCGGCAGATCATCACCCTCCTGCACGAGCTGAGACGCCGTGGCCGCAGGTCTCGTCCTTTACACTCCCCACACCCAACCGGGATTACACACCCAACCGGGATTACACGGATAATCTGGATTACAGGTTTAACTAGGTTTACTCACCTAACCAGAATTACATAACCTTCATGTTTACGCCAGTGGCAGATCCCAGGGGGTGGGTCATGGGGCCAATCGCTGACCTAGCCCACAACCACCGCCCCTTAAGACTCTGAAAATTTTAATATTGATATTTTTCCAGAGAAAACACATGCAATGTTGTATTTATGAATGTGGACCTTATTTAAAAAGCATGACATTTCAAAACTGCCCCCCTGGGAAGTGTATATATTTGTCTCTGTCACACCATGTCATATTGGTTAATATGACCATTGTTCACTGTTAAAGGAGACAATTGCAAGCAAATTGTTTGAAATGTTTCCTCTTATACTCTATATGCATCTTACCATAATGCAAAACAATAATAACAGCCTCTTGACAATTCACTGCTGGATAGGGGTTGTTTGATCATACACACTGGTCAATGCAGATTGTTGAAAGTGGTGGGGGAATCTCACAACTATCTCATTCTTTAATGCCAAAAATAACCAGAAATCAAGCTCAGGTCGCCAGGTGCATAGAGCAGTGTGCTAACCACTGTACCACCGCAAACAATGTGTGAATATTTCTTCATTGCAGTATGTTGTCGGACCGACAGTACCCAGTAATATAATTCAGAGGTTGAGTCTAAAATTATTATTTTTGTCTTCTCTCCCCAGGGCATATGGCGTAGTCTCAATGTGCATTGGAACTGGCATGGGAGCTGCTGCAGTGTTTGAGTTTCCAGGAAACTGAGGGAAACTGAGCACATAACACACGTGATTTCCACTTTTGGAATACTCTAATCATTAACTTTATATCTCTATACTATACTAGATTGCCTTAAGTTTAACACAAAAAATATGAAATTCTCCTTGATTGTACATCTCATTTAATCATGAAGTTTCATTGAAAAAAATATGATTTAAATTTTCTCATGTATGTACACCTTCCCAAAGTTCGATTTAAAATACTGTATTGAAAGATCTATAAACATTTAAAAAACGTTTCATTTGTTTTGTTTATTGCAGCAATAGTATTACACTCACCATATTCAAAATCCTTAAAACAATATATATATAACATTTGGACACAGGTTGGTGCAGTGCAATTATTGTAGCTGGACTGATGTTTCTTTATCAAGGAAAAAAAAAGCAGAGGTTGGCAGAATTAAAATAAGAGTGAAGGTCTTCAAGTGTCCAAGGTGAAATGGCAGGGTTTGAGCAGGAACGCTGGTCTCAGCTGTCGATGGCAATGACATTGTCGTAGACTCGCACGACATCGGGCAAACTCTCCATGAGGTGCACGAGGTGTGCTGCCACATCCATCTCCTCGCTCTTCAACTCCACAGTCCGCACCGGTATGAACTCCAGCGCCGAGGAGAGCGGAGTAAAGCCAAGGGACATCAGGCGTTCACGTACCTCGCGCAGTGACTGCACTGCGCATACGAACTGAGTCCCACAAGCACAGTATAAATGCGCATCGTTGGCAAAAACAATGCTGAGATTTTGACATGTCTGTGCTGCTAATTATGCAAAAGCAACAGAAGATTTATACTGTTTTGCTCTGGGCGTTTTGAGTACTAACCCATTGGCATATAAACAATATATATAAAAGGGAAATTTGTGAATGTGTCTGTTTGAAATGTTCAGCATACTTCCCACCATGCAACAAACTTGAAATTTGGCATGTGGGTCGTTTCCAGACTACACAATGCAAAAAGTATAAAAATAGACTTTTGTATTTTGGGGCGGGGGGGTGCAATAATTGATATCTTTTTCACGGCAAGTGAGTGGTGACGTCACATCTGTGATGTCACCCGCATGCGGAAGCGTTACGCAGTGTGCCTGCTGACGTCATGCATCCCCCCCCACCCTCCGCGTAGGCCGTGTATTAATCCAAGACAAGAATACAAGTCCCGGGTGAAGCCGGGTAGTAAAGCTAGTAAGCAATATGGCACACTGTGCTTAAATGTGCATAATGAATAGAACACCACTGCAATAAACAATTAAGTGCTTAGACGTATTCGTATGTTAAATATCTGGACCGGATAATATTTTGCCCACATTTTCTTGATAAAAGTTGAGTTGTCATAAGATATCGCACTTCAAACAATGCACTGCTCACTAACAATTGGCAAGCAACGTTTTATTATTGGGCAACCTTCTGGTGCCATTGTTGCAGGTGTTACAGAGCACCTCACCTGGAGGTTGACTGGATCATCTTCGCTGATCTGCTCACGGACATCTTCGGCTCCCACTTCGATTGCCAGTTCCAGTGCCTCCTCTAGACCCAAGTTCTTCCTGTCACTGTCCTTCCGAATCGTCACCACTCCCCTCTGCTCAAAGCTATTCTTTGCCCCTTCAAATAATGACCCACTTTAGAGAGAGCAAGAAATAAAAACACTTTAAACACACTTATAAAAATAATATTTGAAAAAAAATTGCAGTCCACACGAGTATTTCAAGCCGAAGATTACCAGAAAAAACACATTTAGATAACTTTCTTTTAAGGGAAGCTTTGTAAAGTTAAAACTTTTTGTTGCAATCTAACCTTGAACGAAATTATTGTAATAGAGTGCTTTAGCTTACCCATTTTTGTTCACAAGGTTGCGGATATCGCTGTTGGTTCTTTTGTAATTGTCTGTGCAAGTCTCCACTAACAGTGCGAAGCCTCCTGGTCCACGCACCCCAAAATTAATGATTGTCAGAGGCTTGCTCTTGTCCTGAGGTGGCAGGAGAAGGGGAGATGGTCTCCGTTAAATACCACGTTGTTGCACGTAAATGTAAAATTGTGAAAACTTTGTCTTTGTCATGTGGGGGATCAATAATACACATCACATCTGCTGGGTTATTGGCAAATTGACTCCAATTATATGTGGAAAAAAATCGCATATAATTACGGATAATTTGGAGCATTTTTCCACGCGACTCCACTTACGCACAAAATCGTCAATTGGAAGTATCGAAGCACGGCGAGGGGACTTTGAAACATGCTTTTCTTCAAAAACATGCGTCGCTCTGTCACCGTATATTTGTGTCTCCGTCTATTTCCGTGTAATTTTCTGTGTCTGTCTTTCTAGGCATATTTTTACATTAAAATATGAAACAATAACCCACCAGTAATTGGGAATTGCCAAATTTTCCCTCTTTACTGAAAACATGTGTAACTGGATGCTGTGCTCCACAGATTTATGGATAAATTCACATGATGGTGGGCAATGGGAATGGTTACGGGTAATATGATTTGGGAAAAGAGTTTTCCTTTACTGTTATGAGCATTAAAATTGTGTTTTGGTTTGATTACTCACCGCACCCTTGATAGCCGTCTCGTAGGTGGCTTTGGGCATGTTTTTGGAACGGCAAACTTCAAGCAGGCTGGCCAGTGCTGAGTTCATGTCTGGGTTTGGTCCACCCTCTGCAAAGATTATAGTTTTAAATTTTCAAAGCTCTCACTTGAAACGTGGTCGTGTCCACTCCGACCCACAGCAAAGCAGATATGACGAATAACATCACCTGTGTGGAGAATGCACTCACCCTTCACCGCATGGCGGATCATGATGCCCAACTTGCTGAACTCCAATGACCTCGCAGTGTCCTTAGGGCCCTTGATGTTCTTCACTTTGGACCACTTGTTGTGGCCGGCCAGAGCCCGCGCCGACACGCGATATCCACGGACGGTTTGGCACCGTGAATAAGAGAAGCCACTTTCCACGGGACAGTCCAGCAAAACGGACTGCAGAGACGCTCGGAGGGGTGCCCAGAATCTCCTGGGAAGGTGTTTAAGTGTTGCCGCCCAAGCCATTCGTAGAATAGTCTCGCGGCCTTCTCAGGTTGCTTTCTCTGAGGTACAAACCGAGACAAATGAAAATACTAATTATCCCAATTCTGGAAGATGGAATAATTACATGTGAATGCATTGTCTTGGGTAGTCTATTATTACGCAACTGAAAAGAATGGGACTCATAATATTCTACAAAAAACTTAAACTACCTCAAAATGAGAATGATCCCTGCAACAAAAAAAACAACAGGTGGCAGCCCCCCATTTATCCGTGCTGTTGAATAACAGCACGGATAAATGAATATCAACAGCACGGATAAATGGGCGCCGTCGTGCAAGCGACGCAAGGAAGACTGAGAGCGCAGGGGGGCCGTGCATTAATCCACCACGTTCATTTTAACTCCGAGCAGCACAGCGTCGTGCCTTTGAATTATATTCAACGCAACTTGTTGTTCACGAAGATTAAAAGGAATGAGTTGTCGAACGAGCGGCCAAGCCGTCCTTGAATTACGGACGTGCAACTCGCCGTCCGAGTTTCTTTTTGAGCGGCGCGCTCAACTCCATTTGCGATCCTGAACCAGTAGGGGGGGACTGGCATATTTTCATGACGAAGCCTGGTTTCTCCAGAAGACGACCACCCACAACGTTGTATACTCATTTTATTAACGCCCGAGAGAATGCCGATGGGCCGAGTCGATCAGGCTTTGAAATCCGAAACTTTATGTTGCGAGTTGAGCAACATTAACACATTGCCACTTGGCCAAGAACAGGCGTAGAGGCGTAATACGGCGGCAATGTGTAACCATGCAGCGATACTGTAAGTGTAAGAATATTGAATTGAATGACGTCACCTGCCGGTAAAGGGCAAGTGCCACCGTCCGCGATCTCGATGGGAGTGAACGCGACTAAACTGCATTCAACCGCGGAACGACACGCTTTAAACCCGGTTTACCCGCTCGCAAACCTCGGTTGTCCGAATTTAAGTTCGAATCTCCTGAAGGAGGCCTAGGCAAGCGTGGGGGCCGCCTTGACAGTTTCCCGGCGTGCAGCGCGGCTCCTTGGGCCTCGCCCCCCTAGGAGGCCCCGGCGCGATGCCCCGCCCCCAATACTCTATCCCCGCCTCCCTACATGCGAGGCGCTGCCTCCATATTCTAGCCCCGCCCCAAACGCGATGCCCCGCCCATCTCACCCCTACTGCCCACCCGAGGCCCCGCCCCCACATCCTCTGCCGCAACACTGCCGCTTGTGATTTATTCACACCGTGGGAGGGTCTCTGTGGAAAAAGGCAACTTATGTGGAGAAAGAAAACTGGTCGTTACGTGGTTTAGACTCGGTCCCCCGTCATGGAACCAGAGAAAATCCCACCACGGGCTCAGGGCTGTAATTAAAGATGTTCACTTTAAGCATACACAGTACAGTTCAGTACGGTACGCCTGTAGCATGTTATAAAGGGGCCTTAAATAAATAAAATTGCAACACACAATTTTTACCTGCATAGTAAAGTTATTGTATTTTTTTAATTTGCTATACAGTGAGATAATATGACAAATCGCTAACCTTAAACACCCAGTTCATAAAAGTTGAAGGCAGTATAGTACTACAGTAATAGAGCAAGTGCAGAATCACTGAACCGGAATTGAGAGCTTGAATGAATTTAGCGCAGGGCCCTTGAAAGTGCGGGGCCCGTAGCTACTACATATGAAGCCAGTTTTACTACGAGTGTAGTGGAGTAGAAAGGTGCGTATTGCATGGAAACAGAGACAGTGTGGTTTATGTTGGGTCAGCCTCTTGTGAAGGCAGAGTCATTGGGGTTCATGTTGGGTCAGCCTGTAATGAAGGCAAATACAGTGCAGGTTATGTTGGGTGGGGCAATTAAGCTGGGAGAGCCAAGGACGGCTGTGATTGGCTGGTGCTGTTGCCGGGGCCGGAGAGGCGTCTGGAAGTCTGGCGAGAAGCAGGTGTGTGATCACGCGGAGTTGGGACGCGGACTAATTAATTGGGGGCGTAATGAGAGCGGGGATAAATTGGGGGGTCGGCAATTGGAGCGGGGAGTTGGAGTTTTGGGGAGCTGGAAGACGGAGCTGGGAGTTGGAGTTGGAGAGCTCGGAGTGAACAGCGGGGAATTGGAGAGTGGAGAGCTTGGAGACAAGAGTGGGAGACGGAGCTTGGAAACAGCGTAGCGATAGCGGAGCTGAAGAAGAGAATAGCCAGCAGTGGAGAGAGCGTAGCGATAGCGGAGCTGAACAGAGACGAAGCAGTTAGCAGTGGAGCGAGCATAGCGACGGTGATAGCGGAGAGCGGAGACGAAGAAGTTAGCGGCGGAATAAGCGAAGTAATCGTGGGGAGTGGAGAGACAAATGTGGCGAGCGAGTCGAGTGAAGCACGGCGAGCGATCCGTGGCGATTTGGATACTGTGGAATGTGGAGGACATGCTGAGAGTTGTAAATAAAGCGGTGTTCGGAGAAAGACAAGTTGTCCCAGTGAAATCAAACACTACACGAGGATAATTCGGCACAGGTTTCGGCTTTTTTTTCCAATGTGAATAAAATCGAAAACAAAACATCAAAAGGAAAATATCGATATTTCGATGTTATTGGAGGGACCAACATCAACGACAAAACATTCATGTAACGGAACCAAAACACTGATGTCACTCGATGTGCTCTGTCCATCCTTACTTGTAGCCCACCCTACCTCATACCAAATCGGGGGTGAGGAACCTTTCCATAGGACCGAATACGGCTTTCAAACACATTGGACGGGTCAGATTTACACACATGCAGAGACACAACAGCCACTTGTGAGTGCAAGAGGCCCTGCGCCTCTTAGTGCCCCTGTGTAACTTGCGTTTTGATGGATAAATGCATGGACCTTACGAAATTGACCATCCAATTACGAACTAGCGTCATGGTTAGCTACAGCTTGCTCTCGCACCCCTGCATTAAAGCCACTCCCATAACTCTGACCAATCACTCTTGAATCATCGGAGCCTTTCCCAAAGTTAGTCTACACGGAACATTTAAGCATGTATTTATTATATGTAAATCATACTGTATATAAATTACATTTCAATATAGAGAATTAGTTAATAACCAAGCAAAACATAAAACAAATTCAATGGTACATCTCAATAACAACGTATTTAGGTTTTATGGCATTAGTATACATTACAAAACCTAACATTGGACATCGCTGTGTGCACAAGTTTCACAAGTGCTGCTTTCAGTTTACGGTGACAGCTGAACGTAATGCAGCTGTTTCTGGCACTTGTCGAAATGCCGGTTTGGTGAACTGCTAATAAAGTGGTTTCTCAGCTGTTGTTACATTATATCACGTCAGTATGAAAATATTAAACCTAAAAAAATTACCCTTTTATCCTAAACTTATTTTAGCAACATGGTTTTGAGAAATTAACCCAAACATAGCCTGAGTAAACATTTCATTACCTTAGTATGAAATTCAATATAAATCAGTCTAGTATATTAAAATACATATATAAATCATTATAGTTTTGTTCAATGCAATAAAGGATTGGTAACATTGAACTGTATTTTGTGAATATTAACTTCACGTTCAAATAAAAAAAAAACTATTATGTTGAAATACACATAAATGAAAATATGCCTTGTGTTCATCATTAAAGCACTCTTTTATATATGTTATAAAACGTGTATGCAGTGCTGATGACACAAACGTGCGAATGTCTGCCCCAAAATGCACATGTAAAACGCCACTTGGTCAGGCCGATTTTGCTGCACCCTGCAAGGTGTCAAATATGCTGCACAACATTTTGAGCAAGAGACATCATCACTTGCGTGCAATGAACTTAAGGTTAATCGATTCACTGGGGATGATGACTGTGCTCGTTTTTGGTAAAATATCCTTTTGACTCGGGTCCCACTGAACCTCAAACTCCTTGATCAACTGCAAGAGACAGGAGACGCAGTGGCACACACATGAACACCGGCGACACTCATGTCAGTCCGCCAAGCGGTAAACATAACCAACTTCCTTACTTGGTATACAGTATTTCATGTAAACAGGAAATCCAGGCTCAGAGACAAAGAAAGATGCAATCAAAGGGAATAAGTTAGTGTTATACCAAAATATAAATTAAGCCTATAAGCATGTTATATGTCAAACTAGTAATACGTATGTGGGTTATTGACAGTCTGAAGCACGGGGATGGGTACACATTAAGTGGAGCATGATATTATTCATGATAAAGGTTTTTGGGTTAGATCGCGTTATTGACTGATTACCAATCGATTATATAATTACAATATCCCCCCCCTCCGCCTCAAATCACTGCACCTCAAATGAGTTAAATGATGACGTCACCCTGCTGCTCTATTTGAGCCCAGGAGCAAGTGAGGGCTTTACCATTCTGACGAATTGCCCGATGATGCTGGATGTAATTACCAGCGAAACGTTGTACGCAAACTGTAAATGTTGTGGATTCACTCTTCAACACACCCGTGGGCTAAAGTAGTGAACTAATTGTCTTTTGTCAACGTGACACTTTTTTGTCGGGTGGTGGAGGGTTACGACACATTTATAAATAACGCGATCGAACCCAAAAACACCTTTATTATGAACACTTCATATCATTCACATCTGAAAAACACATTTTATTTGACACTTGTGAAGGATCTCTGTTCACAAACTCACGCGGGATAAGGTGAGGTACATCTCCAGCTCAGCCACACGCCGCCCGACGCATGCCCGCACGCCAAACCCGAACGGAATGGATCCGAAAGGGGGGTGCGCCAACATGGTGCCTTTACGCAGCCAGCGCTCGGGCTTGAATGCCTCCGGATCCGGGAATATTTCAGGATTGTGTGACACCGCGTAGTGGCACAATTGAAACAGTGTCTGAGTGAAATGGCAGAACATGTGCATGCAATGGAGGAGAAAACACAGAGATAAAGATTAGTTGTGGCATGAATATTCAGAATTTGAAAACATTTGTACATATTGGTATTTTATTGTTACTTGTGTATATTAATCAGCAATTACGGCAAGTTGAAAATGTTTAATGTTGTAGATTATTGTTATAATTTTGCATAGATTAGATGTGGACAGTGTATTTTTGAAACATCAAGTAAATGAACTGCACGTGGCGCGAATACATTGTTATGATCAGATTGTTGGCTGCAGGATGAACTATCTGAGTTCTCCTCGGTCCACCTTGGACTCTCATTCTTGTCGCCGAAACATGTCCTGTGGGTCTCTGCAAGATGTGTCTCAGGAACATATTTCGCTTCTAGATTGAATTAAGGGAACCCCTTTTTGTAGTCGGTTTCATTTAGGATCGTTGTATTTGTTCAGCGGCCTGTCCAGGAGATCCTCAGTATGCAATGGAGTCCTTTCATCACTAAGGCCTCGATCCTGATCTCTTCAGCTTTCCTAAGTGACCAACCCTTAAATTCGTACGTTACCGGCCACACAAGCCCTTTCTGCAGGTGAATCTTGGGTGGAAGTGCGATATTCCATCCACGCCAGATTGGCTTGAAAGAAGCTATGACTGCCGTACCCAGGGCGAGCCATTCCCAGACGCCTTCTATACACCTTGCATCTTCTGTATTGGCCTAGCTGAGGTACATCATTTTATACCTTTTCCAATTGTTTGGCTTCAACGTAAAAGCGTATTGCAATTCTGTCCTTGAACGTGATATTAGTCTTGTCGATATTGATAACAAGGTTATGTTCTTTCTCAGCTGTGACTAAACGATCAATCAGTTCCTCAAGTTCATCTGTCGAGCTTGCCAGGACTCTGTCGTTCGCATATCTCAAGTTGGGGATCCTTTGGCCTCCTATGAGTACCCCTCATTTAAAAGCTTCAAGGGGCTTTCTCATGGCCACGTCTTCCAGGATGTTGAACCGATATGGCGAGAGGACACAGCCCTGCTGGACCTCTTTATGGATCCGGATTGAGTCGGATATGACTCTGGTTTTTGTTCGTTATCACAAGAAGATGCAAGTGTGGTAAATAACCCATTTCCAGCATAATTCACCACAGCTTTACAGTGAGGGAAAAAAGTATTTGATCCCCTGCTGATTTTGTATGTTTGCCCACTGACAAAGAAATGATCATTCTATAATTTTAATGGTAGGTTTATTTGAACAGTAAGAGACAGAATAACAACAAAATCCAAAAAAACGCATGTCAAAAATGTTATAAATTGATTTGCATTTTTATGAGGGAAATAAGTATTTGACCCCTCTGCAAAACATGACTTAGTACTTGGTGGCAAAACCCTTGTTGGCAATCACAGAGGTCAGACGTTTCTTGTAGTTGGCCACCAGGTTTGCACACATCTCAGGAGGGATTTTGTCCCACTCCTCTTTGCAGATCTTCTCCAAGTCATTAAGGTTTCGAGGCTGACGTTTGGCAACTCGAACCTTCAGCTCCCTCCACAGATTTTCTATGAGATTAAGGTCTAGAGACTGGCTAGGCCACTCCAGGACCTTAATGTGCTTCTTCTTGAGCCACTCCTTTGTTGCCTTGGCCGTGTGTTTTGGGTCATTGTCATGCTGGAATACCCATCCACGACCCATTTTCAATGCCCTGGCTGAGGGAAGGAGGTTCTCACCCAAGATTTGACAGTACATGGCCCCGTCCATCGTCCCTTTGATGCGGTGAAGTTGTCCTGTCCCCTTAGCAGAAAAACACCCCCAAAGCATAATGTTTCCACCTCCATGTTTGACGGTGGGGATGGTGTACTTGGGGTCATAGGCAGCATTCCTCCTCCTCCAAACACGGCGAGTTGAGTTGATGCCAAAGAGCTCAATTTTGGTCTCATCTGACCGCAACACTTTCACCCAGTTGTCCTCTGAATCATTCAGATGTTCATTGGCAAACTTCAGACGGGCATGTATATGTGCTTTCTTGAGCAGGGGGACCTTGCGGGCGCTGCAGGATTTCAGTCCTTCACGGCGCAGTGTGTTACCAATTGTTTTCTTGGTGACTATGGTTCCAGCTGCCTTGAGATCATTGACAAGATCTTCCCGTGTAGTTCTGGGCTGATTCCTCACCGTTCTCATGATCATTGCAACTCCACGAGGTGAGATCTTGCATGGAGCCCCAGGCTGAGGGAGATTGACAGTTATTTTGTGTTTCTTCCATTTGCGAATAATCGCACCAACTGTTGTCACCTTCTCACCAAGCTGCTTGGCAATGGTCTTGTAGCCCATTCCAGCCTTGTGTAGGTCTACACTCTTGTCCCTGACATCCTTGGAGAGCTCTTTGGTCTTGGCCATGGTGGAGAGTTTGGAATCTGATTGCTTCTGTGGACAGGTGTCTTTTATACAGGTAACAAGCTGAGATTATGAGCACTCCCTTTAAGAGTGTGCTCCTAATCTCAGCTCATTACCTGTATAAAAACACCTGAGAGCCAGAAATCTTTCTGATTGAGAGGGGGTCAAATACTTATTTCCCTCATTAAAATGCAAATAAATTTATAACATTTTTGACATGCGTTTTTCTGGATTTATTTGTTGTTGTTATTCTGTCTCTCACTGTCCAAATAAACCTACCATTAAAATTATAGACTGATAATTTCTTTGTCAGTGGGCAAACGTACAAAATCAGCAGGGGATCAAATACTTTTTTCCCTCACTGTAAATGCTGTACTTAGTCGAAGACCTGTGCGAAGTCCACGAAGCACATGTCCAGTGACTGCTGGTGTTCTCTGGTTTTTGCCATGTTGATCTGGAGGTTGGTGATCTGATCTCATGGGCGGCGGTGTGGCCAAAATCCCACCTACTTGTCCGCAATTTACTGCTCAGTCTTGTTCAGGATTCTATCCAGACTCACCCTCGGCAGGATCTTGATTTGCATGATTTTCAACTTGGATTCCGTCTGGCCCGGTGGCTTTCCGGTACACAGTATCATATTGTATTTTGCAGCATGCATTGATGTAAGATAAGCAAATTGTTAATATAAAATATTTTAAAATATAGAGAAAGATATTTCAAGATTAGGTTTTAATTGGAAATGCAATCATATCGTTTTTATAATTTAATCGTAATTAAATGAAGCTTGGATTAGCATGCAGTTACAATGTTACAATAATGCACAATTGTCTGTAGACTGCATGGTGTCAAGACAAAGTATTATGTGAGTACATGCCTGTGTGAGTGTGATGCGTGTGGTGGTGTGAGCATAATCCATCTACACATTCACGTTTTTGGGGAAGACATATCCGCCCACTTTCGTTCCTCCTTCCACGATGAGGCGCGAGTTCGAAGGCACCACTGGATACAGTCTGCACGCACACATGCACAATGAGCACTCAGTTCCAACGCAGCTGCCTCTCCGGTTGTACCGTATGCTGATCAACATGATGTGCGAAGTTTAACTCCACATGCTGGACAGCACAAATTGAAAAACACATGTGGAAGAATGCACACGAATGCTTTTTTTGCATTTCCTTTCATTTTATATCTCGTTTGTAACTCACTTAAATGTTCTCTATTTACATTTAACATCTTGGTTTTGGATTCCGTGATCTGTACGATATTGCAACTGTTTGAGTGTTGTGGTACTAAACAAGCCTCCAGAAATATTTTCACCAAACATGGACAGAGAGAGAGAGCTTTGGAAGCGATGGGCGTTGGCTTCAGGACACGTGACCTCCATTAATTCAGTGCACTCAAGTAATCTTTACATTGGTATAAATGCCTTGTACTCTCATCCAGTGAACAGTTTAATTGTTAATGTGTTTTGCGACCTTGGTTTTGTAACCTTGGTTTTGTACAGTTCCATTGTAATGTATGATGTATGCTGTAGAGTTGAAGTCCTTCATAATTACGTGAGAGATCATTTTCATCTAATTCAGGACACAAAGGGATCCAGTTTTCTTTAATGGCAGTTAAGTCCTACATATACAACGAAGGTAATGCTTTTAAGATATAAAATAAGTACTTGTAAAAGCAGACAATATCTATTGGTTTTCATGTTTGCCATCATCGTTTGTATGCCACGTTGCGATGATTCCAGCTAATTCTCGCATTGACCACAAACGAGCGTGGCGGTTCACCTGAGAATCTCTTTGATGACAGCCTTAAGGAATGACATTTTGGCCAGATCTTGTACATTGGGGATGGTGTTCCCTGGACAGACGCCCTCGACCTCCTGGTGCAGCCTCTCCTGCAGGTGGGGCTCTCGTGACAGGTGGTAGAGGACCCAGGACATGGTGTTGGACGTCTATCAGGAAAAACACAAGCTGCACTGGTAATCTATCTTCACATTATATCAAAGCTAAGAGTTATTCACCATCATAAAATAAATAACATGTATTGACACATGAACTTTAATCTGTTTGCAGAAAGGTTTGTCACGTAACAAGGGCTGGTAATAACATTTTCCAATTTGTTTTTATCAATCATGTATGCAATTGAAACGTTACTGCCTTTCATGTGGATCGTGTGTAGATACACACAAATGATCTTCACACAAAATTGCACCCTTGTATGCACACAGGACTTTTCCTTCTGCCTTCGTAGATCATTCATGCATCAGAGCCAAAGCGAAAATAGAACAACGTGGAAAGATGCCTTGCCCTTTAAAATTACTCAGACAGGCGAAGTGCAGCTGTCCAGTGAATTGTGTCTCATCTTGGGAGACAGCACTTAGATGTGACAAACGCAAAAATGAAGTGGCAGTTGGAGTCTCAGCAGCCTCTAATGCCTGCAACACCCATGCCCTGCGCTTGAATATTTTTGGTTGGTGTCTTGCGCCTTCTGTGTAAGAGATGATGCAGTGGTCACGCACGGTGTCAATTCCAGCCATCAGCAACTCGGCAATGCTGCCGTGGATTTCGTGTTCAGTCAGCTTGCCGTTAGACAGGAGGTACGTGAGGTACTCGCCCTCCAAAGGCTCGCCTCGTGCCACCATCTCGCTGATCTTGATCATCTTCTTGTCTATCTCTTTCATTCCTGCTCCGTGCGACACATGTACAATGCTGGCTTGTCAAAATGGCATTATGCAAACCAAATAGTGCTTATTTTTAATCGTGCTTATTTTCAAATAAACTAATAACTTATAGTTTAGTTCAACAAAGCTTATCGCTCTTAAATGAAAATATGTAACTAAGCTATGTCCGAAGCTGTGTTACATGACATTAAAGCTTCCTTAGTGAGAAAAATAGACTTAAAATTATGATCTGGCATATTATTTTGAGAATGTTTTTGTTATAGTACTCTGATGCCACTCCCATACATTATAAAATGCCCAGTGCAATGACGTCATTGGAAGTGATTGTGTTTGTAAATACTAAATGGCCAACCAAGACTCAGAACAGCCCTAATCGAAAAAGCTGCCCAATATCCTGAAGGGTATATTTGAGTGTTGGGGCCATATTAAATGTTATATTAAATGAGTGGCTGTTCCAAGTGCATAAACAAGTGTTTTTTTATCATAGAAAAAGATTAAATGCAATAATGCAGTGTGGCTCTAAGTAACGCAGTTTCTAAACATAAATTGTGCACTGGTGAGCGTGTCGGTGTGTGCACTGGACTCTACCGAATGAAAAGATCACGTCCCATGCGTTGCAGTAGTGCTTCCATAACGGCAGGATCATTCGAATCCACTTGGGAATAAGCGCCATCTTCTCCGAGTGAATAAAGACAGTCCTGACGGCATCAATGAACACCTGCGTCTCTTCCGGGACCGACTGCTCCAGACAGCCGAGCCGTTTCTCAAACAGCACGGTAGAGATACCTTGCATTGCACAGCAGATTAGTTCATGTCGACAGAGGAAGGACAAAGGGAAGAGGGCATGGTGTCACTATCCAGATTGCACTCTAGAAAGGAGTAGAATGTTCCTACACTTTGTTTTTCACCACCTATCATTTTTGTGGGTCATAGATTTTTCTCTTATGTTTTTGTGGAGTTAGGTAACATAGTCTCAATGTATGAGAAACTGTTCTTAGCAGAGGTCTGCTGACCAACATGATAAGTGCATCTACCTGGGAAGGTTGGCAGATCAAGAATTAAAATCTGTGACTGCCGATAAAACCTATCACAACAGAAACGTTTATTTTCATTCAAATTTGCTGTAATTTCTCCCATTTTCGAGTCGGCCATCTAAAAACTACGAAATGGCTACAGATTTCTTCAGTTCTTTGGAGATGGCGGTCTGCATAAGAAAAATCGATTTTCTACAAGCAATGCATATCTTTGTGTGTTGTTAAATATAGTGCCCATTGTCATTTGAGGTCCTGAGAAAGTGGTGGAAATTCCAAAATCCTATGATGAGAACCAATACATTTGTAACGTATCCCATCAATCAGTGCTCTCCCAGTGTAGTAATTTCACTGACCCCAGAAAGATGATGACCTGAATAAACCCTGGTCGGACTTTGACTTCATGACATGGTTGGAAGCTCTGAGCTATACAATAAAAGCTCTCCAAACCGAACTGGAAATAGAGTTTCCGAAAAAAATAATTAATATTGCAAAAAATCTTACTGGAACAATGTTCATGCACTCGGTAGCTGCATGTGATAGGATATGACGTGTGTATGTGTATCAGTAATTCTAAAGCGATTTGCTTTCTGAAATCGGTAAACCTATTTCCTTCGACGCCATGCGCTCTGTTAGTGCTCTCTCCACATCCCACACAGCATGGGCAGGCCGTTCATGCAGCAGCAGCAGATTAACAAAAAGGCTGTACGTGAAAAACACGAAGAATCGCTTCAGTACCTTCAAAGGCAAACTTATAAAACTCATTGGCAAGGTTGTTCACCATGCCACCATTGCTCGCCGAGAGCATGTGCAGCCGCGCCAGCAGGTCGGTCACCACCTCGTTGATGGGTTTGACGTACGCCACCATGTCGCGCGGCCGCAGCATCTTCTGATTAAGCACGGAACGGAGCTGGTTCCATTTGGATCCATTCCTGCGGAGACACGGGCAACGTGGTGAGGGGGCAGCCCATGAGGACAAGGGGGCCTGGATTGGTCTGAACTGTGATGCAGGCAGAATGGGTCCGTGGAGGATACACATGGGATAAAATCCTTACTTTCTTATAAAGAGTTGTAGGGGATGATGTGTTGAGAGGTAAATAATTAGACAGAGGCTGTAGGAGTTAATTGAGAAAAGCAAGTCCCTTGCAAAGGAGAAATCTGGAAAACTACAAGTGAAAATGCAATAATAATAAAAAATCAAGCAAACGCAATGTGCAAAGTTCAGTGCAAAACGCCAGTGTAAGCAACCAATTTACACATTGTTACGACCAGGCCAACACTAACCCCTATCACTACCCCAACTCCTCCTTAACCACACCCACCTGTCTTCCTGTCACCATAACTACACCACCATTTTCAATAACCCCACTCTTTATTTTAGCCATTATCATCTAACGTACAATTGAATAATAATTGTAAAGCGCCTTGAACCAATGCGCATATAAGTCTATATAAGATAAGAATATGTACACTTGCTGCACTGTGGGAAGGCTCTTTTGTTGGCAAGTTCTTTGAATATATAATGCATAAAATTATACATGGAGTAATGAGTTATGCTCTACGCATATAACTGTTCCATTTAATAAACGGTTTAATGTTACTCAGAATGTATTTATGTCGAAGGCATTTGTGCTGAATCTGAAGAATGGTGAGAATTTTGAAAACTCTGCAGTCACTGAGGTCAAATAATTTTTTTTTTTATATAAATCAAATAATGACCGGTATTTACAGCACCAAAAATATGATACCAATAACCTCATGACCAGATAAAGTCATTGCTCAGGGTGAGGTTGTGGTGTTAGACTCACTCGGTGAAGGGCCCATAGGCGTATCCGCGCAGGTCACGGTAGTCGGTCCAGTTCTTCATGTCGAACCTAATGGGGTACTTCCCCTCCTGGCGGATCACCTGCTCAATGAGGTCTGCATCTGCAACGCTAATCACCATGTACGGCCCAAATTTTGACTTCCACATAGGTCCATAACGATTTTTGCATTCCACCTGAATAAGCGACAATAAAATACACTTAAAACAGCGAGTTTAAATGTTTCATTTGGTAGTTTCTGTTTTTGTTTGAAAACAATATTGTAACCACGCCCTCCAGTTTACTTCGAGCCAGTCAATTTCTGCAGAACATTCTATAAGCGATTTATCATACTTTATTTCAACTGCTACTCTATGTGCATCTTACAAATTCCATGTTCTGATGTCCCCCCATCACCCTCTCTTAGATTATCTGTGTGTGTTCCTTTTGTCTTGTTTGTGCACTGTAAACAGTTCATGTATTAAATATAAATCAATTTATAGAGGCAGACAGGCAGGTCCACTTGGGTAAAGCTAAAAAAATCACCCAGAGCTCATGCAATGAGAATTACATCCCAAGATTACAATAACACGATCTAACCCAAAAACTTTATTATGAATAATATTGGTCGCGAAAGCCTGTGTCAAATTGCATCTGTCGTAGGCAAGATATTTTAACCATCATAATCCCGTACTGCTGCAATGTGGCACAAACATTACATCTTTGAAAAAAGCCAACAACCTTGACCAATTAAAGTTGAGCAACTTTTACGAGTTTACGTTGTCATACATTGGTTTAAAGCTATCTGCTGTCCTTGCAATAACAAAGGGTACATTGCACTTTGTTTCAGTAAAAGTTCAAGGCCAGGAAAAACACACAAATACAGGCATAAGATAAAGGTAATGCACCCCCTTTCTAGAATGATCCTGGAACATTGTAGGATGTGTTATGCTTCCGAAGTACTAAACTGTATTGTATCATACAATAGTATGTGAACAATGGCGCAGTTATTTGAGCAACGCGCCATAAATCCAAACCTTAAGGGACTCCAGGCCACGGCTAACATCGGTGAAAAAGTGATATGTGAAGTAGGGTTATGAAAATCAGATTATTTTTTTCATTTACCACACTTATAGATGTGTCTGGAAATGATAATATATTTACCTCTGAGAAACTAAGTGAGCTACAGTGATGTACGATGATATGTAGCACACAGGAGTTGCAAAAAGAGGGTCACCGGTTCGGTTCCATCTCCTGGCATGGCAGTTGAAACATGGGGTAATTTTCATAAATCTCTCAGCCTCTGTCCACTGAGCAGTATAAATGGGTATGCCACAGTTAGTCGATTCGCCGGCAGGTTGTGTGTGGTGGTGTAAAAAGTGGGTGGGTACGTGCACCTCTTCCAACGTCTGGTCGGCGTGGTGAGTAAACCCCCTTCCCCTCCCCTCTAAAGCTCACTCGACTGGGAGGCCCTTTCGCCAACAGTAGGGAAAGCAGGCAACCCCACCGCAGGGCTGCGACCTTTAACTGAGACAACATGGCACATTTACCAGGCGGTGACTTGGGACTCTGGGTCGTTTGTACTTCCTTCCCTACGTGGCGATCCGTGCATTCCATTCCCCGGAAATTGATTACCGGTCCCTGCGTTTTGGAACCGTTACATCGATTCTGAAACTTTGAAATGAATTCTAAGGTTTTGTTGTTTTCCCTTTGTATATAACACACTGAGCCCTATTTATTGCAGTGCTGTTGGCGATGCTTCGTTTGTTTTGTGTGGGTCATCTCCAAAAGGTAGTTTCTTTACTGACAGCCTTTCTACGAAAAAAGATATGGGAAACTAATAACTAACCAAGGTTATTATTTGTATTCTTCCGTTTACTATGGTTTTGATAATTAAGTTGACTACATTAGCATACTGCTGCTTCGAGGCAAACTAACTTAGTAATCAAAAGTAAGACTCATTGCCCTTGCTTTCTGCGTGACATTTCAATGTTTCTGTGCACGAATTACTCAGAGGAGAGGATTTTGAGAGCGAGAGATGAGTTATTCTTTAAAACAAATTTTTATCACAGTGAGCAACTCAGATTTGTTAAATAAAGGTGATGTAGATATGGGGAGCGGTAGCGTAGTGACTTGAGTTCGACTCCAACTTACAGCCAACACCAATGACGATTAACTGAACCAGTTATGGGCCTCCCCTAGGTAGATTCAACCTCAAATGGGTACCTGGTGCGATGTGCAAACATCGCCATTCAGGAGACAAAAGCGTCCGGGTGTGGTGCTGGTCACCCACATCCTTGTGTGCTGTGCTGGCCTTGATTAGTGCTCGCCAATAGCACTTGCCCCAGCAGTAGTTTAAGACTATGTGGTGGACATTTGTCTTTGTAACTTAAAGAGGGGGCAAGTGTAGCCAGCACAGCTCCCGGCCACCTTTGTCTCCCCGATAACGATGTTTACACAATACACCAGTTACTGCATCGATCTAGGGGAGGCTCAAGGCTGTTTCAGATCATTATCATCACTAGTATTGACCGAAAGTGGGAATCGATCTGGTGGATCTTTGTCTTTGGGTGACACACACAGAGACACAGACACATGGAGCCAGCGATAAGGGAGAAGAGTAGGGGAATGAATAAAGTTCAGAAGTAGCGTACAAAACGAGCAATGGGCCGATTGATTATCTCGACACGAAACACAAAGTTCAATAGGACGGTTTTAAATTCGCTGGCATGTGGCGTAATTTCAGAACCTCTCTTCATAGTAAAACCCGTGTTTATGATGGCCCACAAGCACAACCAAAAACATTCGTCAATAACACTGCCTTAGAATACATGTGCTGCCCGAACGTTGCATATTATTGTTTTGCTTTTATGGCAGTCTTATTGACTTATGAACGAATGTGAGGTTTTTTTATTTGTTTCTGATGCAGTTTGACAGTAATGAGCAATAGTAGACGATTAAGCCAGAATTGAAGTATGTGCAGACCTGCAGAGAGTTGCGTAAAACATCAATTTATTAGCGACAGCAGTCTAAGAACAACAGTAATATCGGATGTAACATAACCTAAGAGAAAACTTCACTTGTATTGTAATGGGTTATGTAAATGTTAACTGGTATTACCACCCCCCCCCCCTCCCCTTTATGTACGCATCGAACGGTATTTGGATATCTTCATCCTCAACGTGTTCTTAAATAAGTCTGCTTTCTTCTGGATCGTTTAATCTCCCATGTAAAGTTCCGCATCATAAGAAGTGCCTCCCTGTTGATTGATCAAATCCCCCATGCCCCTCCATGCCAGCACCCTAATCTCTGTAGTGTCCAAGCCAAAATGTTTAGGATTAAACAAAAGTAACATTCTTGACCTATTTTAAATCACATTTGGACCTCAGATTGTCCTTAAAGTGTGCATCCAATCGATCACTCTGCTTTGCACACATTACGCTAATGATACGTTTTTTTGTATGTGATGAGTTCTCTTAGCTAGGCCTCGGCAGGGTAAGGTTAAAGCAATGAGCCTACCTTTACCCTACCTATACTCTTTGGTTATTTCGGTAAAGTCACGTAGGTTTAAAATAAATCACGACGTTTCAATTGCAACACAAGCAATCATCATCACGTGGGAAAGCCACAGCAATATATTTTTTTGCTGAAGATTGCTTGTGTTGCAATCGAAACGTCGTGATTTAATTTATTTTATTTTATACCTACGTGACTTTACCGAAAGAACCAAAGAGTATGGATCCCTGCAGTCAGAAAAACTTGAAATCTAGATTTACCCTACCTTTTACCCTTACCCCATACAAATTACCCGATCACAGGGTAATTACTGGGGCACTACTACACATGGCAAAGGTTTATAACAGGTAAATGCTAGGTAGAGCGCTTTATTCATCTATAGAATACTCTCGATTATTCCAATTTAGAATGGAGGCCACGGACTGCGTCACGGAGCTTTTAGCGAGCGGTAAACAAGGTATTTACCGGGTAATACCTCGCGATACCTTTACCCTACCCTTTACCTTAGCCCTTGGCATGTCGACACCTTTATCATTTTACCCGGTAAAAAGGGTAAATTTCCTTACCTTGCCGAGGCCTACTAGTCTTAGCCATGTACGTTTTGTGCGGGTTGCAGGACCTCGCCATTCGGAATTTGACCCTGTGCAGTTGACTTTGGATTGTTTTAATAAAGTATTCAAGCTTCCGTGACTGCATAAAATTACTCATTGTTTTTTTCGGTAAAGTCACGTATGTAGAAATACAATACAATTATTTTAAAACAAAAAACAATCACGACGTTTCGATCACAACGCAAGCGATCTTCATCAGGTGTCAAGAATTCTCGTCTCTCATCTTTTTGTTGTATTTACCTCCGTGATTTGTTCTTGACACCTGATGAAGATCGCTTGCGTTGTGATCGAAACGTCGTGATTGTTTTAATATAATTTTATTGTATGACTACATACGTGACTTTACCGAAAAAACCAATGAGCAATTTGGATTGTTTTGTTAACGGGTTTTTGTTATTACCGTAACGATGTTTTTATGGTGTAACCAGGTCCCCATCTTAAATTATGAGCGTGTGCAGTATTACCCAATGGTTTTAGATGTGCAAAAATAAACGAAGTACTGCACGAACACTCGTGTGTGCATGTTATCTACAACAGGCATATGAGCTATGCCATACGGTAGTTGCTTAACTCTCATAATTAAATCACTGTACCCGCAGCAAATTCTCAAATAGCATTCAGAATGTGTTTTCCAGCTAACTCCTGCAAAATGATGGTTTTTTTGGGGGTGAGATGGCTTAAATACATAAATGTGTCGTTAAACCCGCCACCACCCGACACAGCCAATGAGTAAGGTTTGTCACGTAAACAGAACATGACAATTGGTTGCTAGCACAGCACACTGGTGTGTCGGAGAGTAAATCCACAACATTTACAATCTGAATAGTACAGCAACACCGGTGTGTTGGAGAGATTTTGGAGAGATTTGCTCCCCAACACACCGGTGTTGCTGTACTATTCAGATTGTAAATGTACTCAGTACTCCGTTTGTAAATGCTGTGGGTTTGCTCTCCAACACACCGGTGTGATGTACGAGTAAATACTCAGATTGCAAATGTTGTGGATATCCATTCCAACACACCGGTGTGCTGTACTAACTCCTACAAGTTAATTTATTTCCACCCATGTCATCGTCCTGCAGCGGTTCAAGTCTAACCCGTAGCCTGCAGCAGTCACTTTTAGCAGACGTTGCTCTACCTGTATGTAACAGGTGTTCAATCTGCATGAAATATTATCAGCAACGAGACGTCGTTCCCCACCTGCGTGAGACGTCGTTCTCTACCTGCACGAGACGTCGTTCTCTACCTGCGTGAGACGTCGTTCCCCACCTGCGTGAGACGTCGTTCCCCACCTGCACGAGACGTCGTTCTCTACCTGCGTGAGACGTCGTTCCCCCCCTGCGCGAGACGTCTGTGCTGTACCTGCAAAAGGTGCGCGTTATTGTTTCGGCACAAGACCCAGTAGATGATGGTGAAGAAGCTGGGCCCCGTCAGCTCATCCGGCGAGCGCGAATGCTCCGCGCCGCGAGGAGCCGCCACGGGAGCCGCCACGGGAGCCACCGAGCCGTGCGCCCAGCGCAGCGCGCGCGTCTCGGCGCGGGTCTCGGTCCAGCTCCGACTTCTCGTCCCGGTCCCGGCAACGCGAGCGAAGCCGGGCGGTGCCGCTCGCAGTAGCAGAGAGAGGGGACGGAGGCGGGTGACCCTCGTCCACCACGCGGCCATGGCGTTTCTTTATTTTCTTTCAGCAGAGTGCTCTGTTCTAAAACTGGCGCGCTCACGATGATCCCGCGCAGCAAGGGCGCTGGCTTACGGGGGGCATTTGCTGATCGATGGACGTTGTCCCGTGATCGAGTGGAGTCCGCGACAAGCGTAGCACGGACCGCAACGCGTCTTCGTTGTGTCTTCTCGACTTGTCTCCGTGCGTCGACACGCAAGCTATTTTATACAGTATTTCGTCGCGTGTGGGTTATAGGTCTTTATTTTTTTGCTGGGAAAAAAAAGCTTTTAGTACCGCCCTCTACCTAACATTGTGAGCACTGCTGTGGATACGGTGCATTCGCGTTCCGTTTTTTTTACTTCCAGAATGCGTACAAGAGCATTGTTTTTGCTTCTGTATTTTATTTGAAAACAAGTTGTGCTTCAAAGTTATCCGCTGCGCCCTGAAGACTTTTCCAATTGATGGTTGTCACGCACCTGTTGAATTCACATGCTGCTTAGTCCATCTTAAGTTACACATGGCACAGTGAACGTCTTTGGATGTGGATTAATTGCAGTGATTTAACATGCCCTGGCATCTGCATCAACAAGCACGCAATGGCAATCTTTGAGAAATTCTGAATGGTTTTTGTTCTTTGAATGGTTTCAAACTCCCCGTTATATATATAAAAAAAATATTGAAGTACTTTTAACTGTATGGAATCTGTTTGGGGGTTTAGACGTTCAATAGTTTAGCAAATGGTGATACCCCAACTAACCGGACCCGCCTTTACTGAATTTCACACCGAGCCACACCGCCGTCCTGAAGGCATAGCGAATCGGAGAAGACCGCCCCGAGCTTCGATGCAATACTTACGATTTAGTTCGAAGGCGTTGGGGCGTGGGGGCCTCCAATCTCTTATGGTCCTGTCTAGCCGGACCAGGTTGGTTAATTTAAAAAGACATCTCAAATTGTGTTTTAGTTGCGAATAATGCATATTTCACATACCATACACTACAGCATGTCATGCAATGCACAATAAAATACACGAGAACTAGTTATAGCGAGTATTGTAAAATGTTGCTGAAGTGCATTACATTTTGTGGAATACGGCCGTGTACCCTCCAAACAAATGGACCCAACTACCATTGCAGACAGTGCCCACCTTACCAACATTTGCACTTACGAACGAGCTTCCTGAATATTTTTTTAATCGGACCTGAGAACGTGAACTCGCACTTTCGAATCGAAGAACGGGGCTATTTGGGTCAGCAATTGTACAAATTTCCATTTCGGTCAACCCATACGGTTTACCTGTATTCTTGTACAGCGAAATTGAGCAAAAAAAGTGTTTGTGTTGCTCTCTTGTGATGGGACTTTGTAGGATGACCGTTGATATTTATTAGGGCACGGTGTGACAAATAAAGTCTGAATTGGTTTGTATTAAGGTAGGCACTGATAAAGGGTCGACAGGTATGCATTTCTTATTAAGAGTTTAACAACGCTTCCCTTTGTTGAACCGTAACACATTTTATAACCGACAGCATGCGCACTTATAGTACATTGTATTCAGACCTACGAATATGCCTCAGAGACTGAGTCCATACGCAAGTCAGGGACTGTCCGTATTGTACAACGCATACCATAGTTTTGTTATTTGGTCTAACACATTAATGTATTACATTATACTTCACAGTATGAGTGTATAACACGTACTTGGTGTTTTATACAGATTTTAATTGAAGTCATGGCTGGCCAGACTTTTCCACTCACTGGACCAGGACTTTTCCCCTACGAGTCTGAACTTTGTATCGAGATATAAGTAACCTTGTAATTTTGTTTTGGCACAACTCAAAGATAAATCACAGGGCAACATTAGATATTTCAAATAATACAAGTCTGCAGAAAAATCAGACAGAAAAAAACTACTGCGCTTAACTTTATCCAGAGCTCAAGATTTAATACAAAAAGTATTGTCAACATAAGTTGCACTTAAAGTAAACATTGACATAAGTTTATCCCTTTGCTTATCTTGAAAAACTATCCTTCACAAAGCGCACGTTTGTTGCCAAGTCCTCAATATTCTGACCCACAAGCCTTTTAAATGGTATTCAGTGCATTATATGCAATCAATGTAAATGCTTTTCTTGTACAATGTAATCGCGTCAGAACACAATCACAATGACCTTATAAACGTTGAGTTAAACCTAAGATTTATGGCCTTTGCATATACAAAAATACTTTGTGATAACACACACAAGCATATAATACAATTTTAACAATGTTGCCAACTGAACAAGTAACATTACTTTTCTCCTTTTAATGTCAATCAATAAGTTGTGCTGTTAAAAACTCGCATGGTCGTTTCAGTAGCCTACAACTTAGGTGTGTTTGCTATTTAGCATATGAGCACATGGCTTTATTTCATCTTGGTGAACCAATTACAAGGGTTCCAACAATTTTGCCAAATGTGCAGGTATCTTTAGCTGCCACACACAACTTCAAAGAATAATTCCATTTAAACGATTCTATTTTACAAAAGTAATGCTGTGCAAACGTTTTGCACGTGGTATATTTTTTTTTATTACAGTACCATTTTGACTAGTATCAATAAACACTGATTTTATCAAGTAAAAGTTATAGCACAGACTTCGTATGCCTTAATAGGGATATTTTGGATATAATCGGCAACAATATGAACTCGGGAAAACTGCAGAAATCTGTTCCAAGCATGCAGTTTAAAGCAAAGATCAGTATATTGTGCTTCCTGTTACAATTGAACTTGTTGAAATATGGTGATACTGTAATTTTTTATGGTAAACAGCGTTTACATTTCCAAAATTAAAGCAAACATTCCACCAACCAACCATTAATGCATGACCATGTTGTTCCACGATAAAGCTTGGGAAATGCCTGTTTCCATGAATTACATTATATGAAAAACATTACCCCAAGCTCTGAGGTTTGAAGAGGAAAATGTTATGCAGAACAAGTCCAAGAGGCAGATTGTACTGGTTTCACAATAAGTGTTTCAATAAAAAATGATAAATTGTATTTTACACAAAGACTGCAACTACTGCTGGTACTGTCAGAATGCCCTGGGCAATGTGACTTGCTAGAAGAACATCCCAAGAGATGCATCACTGGGTGGGTAGTGGGATTCCTCTTGGGTCTGTCACTTCCTGCAGGTTCTTCATAAGCTGGGCCAGCCAGCGCTTGGTGGTTGTATCATCCTTCAGAACTGTGGCGAATGTGTTGTCCTTGAGCTGGTCAGGCAGGCACTGGCGCAAAGCCTCACGTGCCCTGTGTACACATCGGAAACATAACACAAGCGAGACATTAATTGGTTCCCACCAATGTATTGTGCAATCATCCACTGTAAGGTAGAAGATGATAGCCTCCTCAGGTCCCACCCTGTTACACGTGGAAAACAACAAATGTCATCAAAACGGCAACTAAACGTTGATGATCAGACATCTGTCAGAACAGCAACATTACAAGCTGTAAAAACGTCATTTTCGGGGCCAAACCTGCCTACATTTGTTCCGGGTATATAGATTTGTCAACTCAACGTTGACGACCTTTAGTAAAACACGAGTAACTCGTAGACACTGACGATGAACAACATCGTCTTCTTTGCACTCCAAGAACTCGCGTATCCAGTAATGAACAAGGGTACCATTGTCGTATACATGGCTATAAGCAAACAACAAGCTGTGACACATGGCCACAGAGTTGAACCAAAAACCAGAACGCAAAACCGGCTTTGCCTGTTAATTTTCCACAACAAAAACTGCACGTTATCCTCCGGGATTAAAAACCCAAAAACAAACGTTATGCTTTGCAGCAACGGTGTGAACACATCAACACAAGGATCCCCCGTATAGCCTTTAAATTACTATTGGAGAAAGTGATGTTACCAACCACCTGTTGAGGCTAAGTCGATGCAGCTACATCTCAGGATCCTACAATGCAATAGCCAATGACGGAGCCAGGATTTTCAAGTGGGTGGGGCAACCCCTCCAGCAATGAAAAAGTAGTTGCTAGTAAGTAAGGACTTGTCCCTTGCTTTTTATTCGACGCGTGTGCGGCGATGGCGCAGCCATCGATCGAGGGTCGAATTCGAACCGCGTTGTGTGATCGGCATCACGCTAACTAAAGGTGAATGCCTTCAGGGAAGTCGTGTACTGTATACGCAACTGCGCAGAATTCTGAGTCACTTATAACTGCTTTGCCGTTACTTATTGCCAATTATGGACTCAGACTTTTGTCCTATCATCTCATAGAGTCCCTGGCACATTATAATATACTACACAGTGGCAGTGGGGGTCGCAAAATGCCGATTTATTCCTAATAACCCCCAATGATCCGATCGAAATTTGGGATTTCGCTCGGATCATTGGGGGGGCACGTGCCACCCCACCTCCCCCCACTGGTTCCACCAGTGGCAATAGCCCATCCAGCACCTGCACATTAGCTGAATTCATTGCTCTATCTCGATGACAGAGATCCACTTGGACTTGTTCCATTATTTGGCGGCGACTCAATTATTTTTTTTTGCCATCACATAAAACCAACGGTTAAGAGTCTGTATTTCAGGCTCTCAATGTCCTTGTTTTGTGCGTCTACTTGTCTATCCTTGTCTGTTTTCCTCCTGCTGTATCTGTCTTTGTATCTCCATTTGTGTCTGTCCTGAGAGACACAAGGAGAGATTGAGATGCAGACATACAGAAACTTACGTCTTAGAAGAGCAGCATGTTTACACGGTAAAATATTATCAAAGTAATTTGATAGATCCCATGCAATTTTTAAAGCATTGGTTTATTGCTTATGTTTTATGTATTGTAACATGGCATTGTGTTTGCAACAATACATAGATGTTACGTGATAAAACCAAGAAATAAACAGTACATAGTAGAAAAAAAATAGCAAAATTAGAAGCTATTATTATCTAGGGTACATGAGGTATCTTTGTTCAGCTAATTTTGTGAAATATGCAAATTTGAATTGGTTTAACTGGTTTTAGCAAGGATTAGCCAGAATCAGTTCACCGACCTACCTTGGCTTGACACTTGTCCACAAACTGAAAAAAGCCGCTGGCAAAACCAAAACAAGGGTGAAGTCCGTTCAAAAATTAATCAGTCGGAGCTGGAGGATGGAAACCTTGGGGCTTCAGACATTGGCCATCACCCTTCCATACTCAACCAGTGTTCTATGCCCCAGTTTTCTAAAAAAGCCACGACGATCAACTCATTGACACCCAAATGAATGTTGATGCAGACCACTACAGGAACTTTACAAATCTATGCCAGTGCCTTGGCTTCATGTACTGTGAAATTAATATTACAGCACTGGATATTTGCTGCAATGCTGCAACACTTTGTGAAGTTCACCAATCAGAAGATGACCCAAACCTGTCAACCTGTCCACATCGGAGGTCCATAAAGCAGCTTTGGAACCATACACAAACTATGCCTGGAGTGGATTTCAGTATCGACAAATGTGGCTTTGAGCAATGTGCTGAACAAACATCTGATCGGTGATCCCACTACTAGACTGCCCCAGCTTTATTATTCCACAGAAACAATGGGAAGCAATTAACCATATCCACACAAATCATGCAAATGTGGACACCTAATGCACAATTGAGAAATTAAACTCTCCCGTCTGCGACTGTAGCTATGAAAACTAAACTATGGATCATATAACTTCGCCCTGCCCGAAATACTGTATACATTTTAAGGCAAATGTATCTACAATCACTAACTCTCAGACAAAGCAAATAAATGGCTAAATCACAACCGAATTTCAAATAGTTGCTCTTCATTGGCAATACGAAAGCATCCCTTTCACAATCAAATACAAGACAGTCGTGTATTAAGAAAATCAATAAACCTGGGATTGTCAGAAAGACGGAGGTAGCAGCGAACAACGTGCTTGAGAAGACGAGCGGATGGTTCCTTGGACAGGGCAAGCACCATCTTGCCCTGAAAACACACCCACAAAAACACACTTTGGGTCATATCAAGGTCATGTTCAAGTGGACAAATATATAGTCAATGCTCTTTTAAATTATGAATGCAATGTATTAGCAGAGGCAATTTACTTACAAGAATCATGGCAACATGGGAGAATCTCTCATAGGTTTGACAAATGTAAGCAAGGCCTGTATCATCCAAAAGAATCTTCTGTAATATGAATGTAGCCACCTGCAATCATGCAAACAAAACAATGTTTCAATTACATTACAATTAAATACCTAAAACACATCATTTAGGCAACTTGCGTTATTGTTGGTGGATATGTCAGAACTATTTCACCAAAGATGAGACAACAGGGAACATTTGCTAACATGTGTCTAGAACCCAAAGCATCACATACCTGATTGAGCTTAGTCAACAAAATCTTGTTTAAACACTTAAGTTGTGCATCACATTAACAAATTATAATATACGGACCAAAGCGCACCGTTTTTGATAGCTCACTCCCAGACTCCATGATTCTCAGGCACAGAGGGATGATCTCAGTGGTCAGCAGGAAATTGATGACTTCCTGTTCATCAGGCTTCACCAAGGCACCTGTCACCACAAATGTATTTTCTTTAGAACAATCGTCAAAACTGTCCTTTTTTTAAGTCAACTCAAACACATTTTGCGCTTGAAGGTTTTTTTAAATAACAATCCAACTCACCAATGACTCCTAGGCTGGTGAGACGAAGGTACTCAAATGGCCGAGTCTTGCTCACGGTGTGAAGAAATGGATACAGGAAGAGAGGAATGTGGGCAGATAGGAAGGCAGACCTGAAAAAAAGATATTTTAACGGCAAAGTAATATATTACCTGAATGTGTATTACTGTATGAGCCCATTGTCAGTTGATTGGTAGGTCGTGTCTGGTGGGGTAAAGTGTGGGTACTACCACCTCTTCCAAGTCCAAAGCCAGCGTTCTAGAGCTCTCTCTAGTGGAGGCCCTTCTGCCAGCAGGTGTGAGTAATACATTTCAGGGCTGCACCTTTATCTTTTACATGGGCCCATTTTTATTATTTTTTACTCTCAGTTCCTTGATTTAATTTACATTTCCAACACAGACATTTCTGCTCTGTACTTTATTAAATACCAGGTCTTCCTTGCAAAAGATATTGTCTGAATTAATTCTCACCTAGGTATACAGTTAATGCCTTATGAAATCATTCTTATTAACTTTTAAATAAAGATGTCCACAATAATTAGCGAGAATAAACTTGCCTTGTCTCTGGGTGCGAGGCCACACACTGCAGCAAAGCCAGTGCATTGCACACGCGGTTGGATTGGTGTGCTGTCAGCGTCGCCGGGTTGATTGATGGGTAGATATTTACAATTTCCTGAAAATAAATATATGTTAGCTGTTTGAGCTTTTTTTTGCCGTGTACTTAGGTTTTACAATCAAACTTAAAGCTTACAAATTTCTCTTGACACCTTTGTAACAAAGTCATATCTCATACACAGAGGCCTTAGTGCTGAAAAAATAGTCTGTGTGAAAAGGGGCACCTTAACACACCGATGACCCCACAACTGGAATGCTCCTCAGTGGTACGGTAGCCAAACTATTTCCTTATTCCTTCCTCAGTGGCCAAATGCATGTCGAGGTCAAGAACGCAACAATGGCCATTGGTGCATTGCCTGGCCCTCCGAGAAAAGCAAACAAGCGCAATACACCCCCGTAGTGAGCCGTACGGTGGTCAACGAGTTAATCAGCTGTGGTGCACAGTTAAAGGTTGGCCAATGTAGTTCTCAACACCGATGAGCTTTACCTGGAGGAGGGCTGCGATGGTTCCGAACGAGTGCCACAGCATGGGCGCCAGATCTGGCACGGACTCGCGCTTCTTGCTGAGTTCCAACAGTGCATTCTCCCGCGTGTCGGGGCTTGACAACTCATTGATCCACGTGTAGATCTTCTCTCGGTCAACCTGTGATGGTGCAGTTGCGTTCCGTGTGATGTGAAACGTGTACATTAGTGTGCGCACAAGATGAAAACATTTGCGATGCGGCGACTGTACATAATTGAATTACCTGGAACGTACCAAATCTTGGCAGATCTAGAAAGCAAATTGGGTTTACGCCTCGATAGAGCTTGGATGGGCAGCTACCGGGCAAATCAGGTAATTTGATGGCAGAGGGACTACATTACCTAGTGGGCAGCAAAGGGCAGTGCAGGAAAATTAATTGTACTGTATTCCCTCCAACGTCTATGCTCCCTACGTATACCAAACTACACTGATCAGCGTGGTGAATTATGATTAAATCTTAAGTGCGTTATAATATTTAATCGATTACAAGCCGTTTGCTGGTGCTGCTAGGGATCATGTACGAAGGCCGACGGTTAAAGATGAGGTAAGCACGTTCACTACACCACACAGGGTACTAATAAAGGCTGAGATGACTTGGAGGAAGCTCAGTCAAATTTAAAATCTAACTGCGACTTGTGCTGTATGGAGCCAGGAATCGAAGTCACGTGACTGGGACCGTAGCTCAGCGAGTACCCATAGACACGTCTACAAATATACCAGTAAAACCTCATCAAATGATGGGGGCATATTTGAAGTTAGACGTTTTATTGTGCAACGTTTCTAAAGGCATTTTACAGTCCACAAAGACAGACACAACAATACTCGTGATTTAAAACAAAAAAAACTTGTATTTTATATTTTCTCAGACGTAACATTGTGTAATTTACAAACATAACTCAGTGATTTTGTAAATGTTATTTCTATAAAAGACACACTTGACATTTTTGAAGTTGATGCGAGTATGGATGACATCTGTGCACGTGGTAAAGACCTGTACAACGGGCCCATATCGCTTTAACCCCCACTGTGAACGCGGGTTGTGGTGCCTTTTTTTTACCACCACCACCTTCAGGTGGTCTTTACATTTGGACGTCCCTATTCGTAATGTCACCCCGTGAAGGTCCACATGAGCATTTGATTTTATTTACGGCCCTGGCAATGCACAGCTGAACGCTTTACCCACGCGTGGGTGGCGTCATTGGGGTTGCTTTACCATAATTCACCACGTTGGCTACTGCAATTTGAATATACCGGTATAGTACTGTACAGTGCATACAAAGCATGCAAGAACAATGATTACGAACACACTATAAATGCAAGCATTGACTTTTCGCGTTTATATTGCACTAGTTTTGACCAATCGTCTTCTTTAAGCGATTTAAAACATCTTGATCATAGAAGGCGCCAAACGTAACGTTATTTTTGTTTGTTTGTACAATACTTTGGGTTGTCGCATGGTTAAATGGAGGGGGCCCCAAACCATGACGACGACGGGCGTAAACACGAACGCAGGGCGCCTTCACCCGTGCGCGTTTGTTGCCTAGAGGTAAACAAGATGCCGTAGATGTTGAACGCGAACGCGCGCGTTTATCGTCTCTCTCGTCAATTAACGTGGCTTTACCGAAGAAGAAAAAAAATGCGCGCAGACGCGCCCCTTTTATCAACGATACAACTCGCGTGGAGACGCCCGCCACCATGGGAGTTGTTTACGTCCACTACTCGACACGAGAGAGGCGGCTTTGTGCGAGTAAATCTCTCTCGGTCCATTCGACGGCGCGATGAAAACCTCAACCCCCACAAGCTCCCTCCCCCACGCGCTGAGCCAGGAGTGGAAACTCCACGTTCACGCGGCGAGACGCCTCAGAATAGACACATTTTTTAAAAAAAACATCCACGCAGTCGACTCGTTGACACGCCAGGTCACACAGCCTGTGTCCGAAACGTGTAAAAAATGTAGGGCCAGCTGTTATAAACTGCCTTCTAATTCACTAAGTTGTTCACAATTGCGTTTCATTTATGGACCAACCCCCCACCCCCCGACCACCACGCCAGTAAGCACGACGCTCATTGGTCCGCGTCGGCACGGAGCCCTAACAACGAGCTCTCACATTGGCCGCCACCGCCGCCGCCGAGGCCCTTCCAACCCCGAACGCCAAACTCGGCGGACAGGGCAATACTCGGAGCGATTACGACTCAAAAGGACGACGACGGCGGCGGCGGCGGTACGGAACTCACGGTGCCGGTCGCCAGGCTGTGCATGGCTGCGATGGTGCGGCCGAGCAAGACGAAGCGGGCGGAGTTGGACCCCGGGTGGAGCCGTCAACGGCTGTCGCTGATCGCGCATGCGCACTTCTACCACCCGCGCGGTGGACCGCGGCTTCTGACCGAGTACGGACAGCGGCGACGGCGACATCTGTCTAAACACTCGAATGGCTTCTGTGTGACGCGTTCCATAGATTTTTTTTCGTGTGGGAGGCGGGGGGGGATAAAAGTCTCGTCAAAGAAGTGTAGATGATATTCTTAGCTCTTTCGGTAAAGTCACGTTGAAGGGAAACAATAATATATATAAAACAATAAAAATTCTCACGACGTTTGCGTTATGGTCGAAACGTGAGAATTTTTTTTATTTTTTTCTATATATTTTATTATTTTATTTTTCCCTTCAACGTGACTTTACCGAAAGAGCTAAGAATATGAATTACTGCAGTCACGAAAGCTTTAAATCAAAATTTAAGTGTAGAGGAGTAAAATGGGGACGTGACGTCATGTGTGCCGTCCAGTGCGATGACGTCACGGAACGTGGCGTCATGCGCGCGATTAATTACGACTTTATTAACGTCTAACTTTTTGGTGTGTGTGTCCGGTCTTTTGTTGAAGAGGAGGTTAAATTTGGAAATCAGGTTTTCCTTACATTTGGTCGACATAGTAGCAGCTGAAGAGGCAGTCATATTGTCTACATGTTCCCAATCGGATGTGGACATTGTTGCCGTCAATGATAAGTGTGATTTGTAGAGTGTCTTGTCTAACTGATCTAGTTCGGTGCGTATAAGTCTGATTTTTTCTGAGATAAGAGCTAAGCTAGTTTTGAAAAGAATTCGTTTCGCATTAGAAGAAGTTACAGCAGCAGAGGTCAGTGTAAATGCGATTGGTATTACCCCATGAACACAAAGCAGACCTTAAACACGGTAGGACCAACACCTCGGCCGTGGCAGATCATTGTTCTAATTCAGTAGGCTCACATGCCATTGACTTTTCCAAGACAGAGGTTCTTTGTAAGCCATCTGGCTTCCATGAGAGATTCGTTCATGAGGCTATCCACATATACAAGCACAGAGACAATTTCAACCGAGAAGATGGATTCTATCTTAGCAATCATTGGAAAGATTTGATAAACCATTTCAGGTCTTAATTGATTGTTCACGCTTACAGTGGCTTTCAGACAGCATACATTATAAAAAAAATCGTCTCCCCCCTCCTCTTTTCAGAATATAGATGGACTAGTCCTAAATAAACTGCCAAATCGTTGCGCGTGGCGCTAACGTTTTTTTAATAAATAAATAAATGCGCCGTTTAAAAATAAATTTATGCAAACCAACACACCTGAAGACGACCGTTTGAGTTATGGTCGAAACGTCGTGAGAATTTTTTATTGTTTTATATATATTTTGTTATTTTGTTGTTTCCTTTCAACGTGACTTTACCGAAAAAACTAAGAATATGAATTACTGCAGTCACGAAAGCTTTAAATCAAAACATTAAGGTAATTTATATTTTAGTTTTTTTATTGGTTCACTATATAGTATTCATTATACATTGTATTGTATACCCAGTTACTGTGAATAGCTCAGATGTGTAGACCTTGACTTCAACATAGCCATTTCTGTGACTAGTCACTAGCTAATCACTCAGTTATTTCAATGCTAAATTCTCCTGTTTGATTTGTACTCGGTGCCTCGGTGAATGTGTATGCTCTGACTTTAAACATAGCTATTTCTGTGACCAGTTACAAGCTAATCACTCAGCTATTTCAATGCTAAATTCTATGCTAATTCCTTTGTCAAGGGGTGCCTCTGCGGATGTGTATGCTTTAACTTAGCTATTTCAATGCTAAATTCTATGCTAATTCCTTTGTCAAGGGGTGCCTCTGCAGATGTGTATGCTTTAACTTTAACATAGCCATTTCTGTGACCAGTCACAAGCTAATCACTCGGCCATTTCAATGCTAAATTCTATGCTAATTCCTTTGTCAAGGTGCTCTGTTTCTTCTGACACAGCTTAAAGGTCGTGATCTGAACGTGGCTTTTTTCACTCCAGCGCTGTCCTACCAGACAGTCTCGTCCCTTCACCTGATGAAGGCCGCTTGTGTTGTGGCCGAAACGTCGTGAGAATATTAGTGTGTTATTTTATTTTATCAATTTATTATTTCATTCTCATTCTACGTGACTTTACCGAAAGAACCAAAGAAGATCAACCAGGGGTAGAGAGGGATCGAGTGAAGAGTGAATCCGGTGGTAGCCGTAGGAGGTGCTGCTCTTCCCGGTCGGTGAGGTTGGCAAATTCCCCCATCCGACTAAACCCCTGGAAAGTTGTCACACCCTTTGTGTAATTGTAATATACTATAATAAACCTTTGGCGAAAGCCCTGACCTTCAAGCCGTCTCCGAGTCGTCGTCGTCGGGAACTCCTCAACAGAAGTTTCAAACAAGACGTGAAAATGCGTCAAAGGCACACGACAATTGGTGAACCCCCCCCCCACCCCCACCGTCAGTGCTTGCTGAAGAAGAGGAATTGTTGGTCGGTCTTGTCTTAGAGCACCATACATTACCTGAGAAAATGTGACAGTGGTAGGGACGCAATGGTAAGGCAACTGTGGATCGATTTCGTCATAATTAGGACTCATCAGCACAGTCACCAATGCTCACATCTGCAAAGTCTGTCTCTGAGAACCACAATGCACTATTTCTGGAAATTACGTTTTTTTATTTGAAACGTGGTTTTCCAGCCCGCATTGTTTTTGTTATGATTTTTTTTCATAATTTGCAGATTTAAAACGTGTTGACACAAGCCAAGCTCAAGGGCCTCTTGGTGTGGATGTGGGGACTCCACAAACAGTAGATGATTCCCAGAGGCAGACCTTTCAGCAGTCGTCAATAGGTCGGATGGAAAAGTGGATTGGAATGGAAAGTTAACTCTTTTTTTTACTGTTGTTTGAAACTGCCCCATCTAATACAATGCTGCCCTGATCTGTTAGTTGCTGAGTTCCATGACAAATGGACAGTCATATTCGTGGTATATTTGACATAAATAATTTATTTTAAAGACGAAAAAAACCAGCACGTGTAAATCGAGTGCGAAACCAGTTTCTGGCTTAGTTTATATTCAGTAATATAGTATTTGTACAAAGTACAATGCAATGGAGACATGCTGACATTTTAAAACCAATACGATAATTGTATTTTAAGCAAAAACAAATGTTGTGCTAATCTCTCAGTGAACAAGTTTAAATTCCAGACACCCTACCTACTGGTGTTATTTCAATGACAGCTAACCATGCTGTCCCAATTCAACCAAATGGACATGGCAAGGATAGTGGTGATTACATTTGTAAGAACAAATATACACAGTAAATTGATTTAGTACAAAAAACACATCGTAAATAGCCTATAAAAAGAACAACTATTCGTCACAGGCGAGTCTCATGTTTTTATTTCTGAAGAGCAATGACAAATGAACAATAAATATACGTTATTATATCAAAATCAGGTCCATCAAGCAATTTAAGTTCATCTGCAATTCTCCAAATCACTGCATTGCGACTTCCACGTGAAAACCTTCATTTTAATATTGATTGCAAAAGCACAACAATCTTGGTCGATGCAGCCCACTGACAGAACAATTATCCTGAGCTGGTCGATGCGTGCTGCTCCTCATTCACAACCTCTTTCCTTGACAATTCTAGTAAGTGAAGAAGATAACAAGCCTCCGTCCACCATCCTCTTCTCATGGCACATTCGTAGAGTGAGATATATCGAAGCTGCAGGCTGCATGCTTGTCACATGTCAGCAGAGTTTTTGTGGCCCCATGGGTCAACTCGGTAAATCACTTTGCGAGGTCGCCAACATTACAAATGGCACCCTGTGGGTCCATTTTGTACAGCATGAAATGCCCCTGCACTTGTGCTGGACTCAGCTGCAGCGACTCAGTATTCCCGGTCACCTTCACAGCCAGATCAGCAAGTGCGCCTGCGAAGTTACGTGCTGCATCGATTGGTTCGTCCGGGTAGAAGCGAAGGAACATCTGTTCCAGCTGCCAGGACGAGCAGTAGCCCACATACTGCTTGAAATCCACGCGTCCAGGGCGGATCAGGGCTGGATCCAACCTGAAATACAGGAAAATCCATGAAGTGACAGGGAGAAAGTATCTATTTTATGCTGCTCTGTGCAGATCGGCAGTTCTATCAATGTTTCACAAAAAAGGTTGAAAGTGTCAATACATTAGCTCTGGCCTGTTTCTGTCCATAGTGAGGACATAACTATAATATTTGGAAAAAAATCCAATATATACTCAATGTTCATATTAAGAATGTATTGCTATAAGGGACTTGTCGTTTAGAAAACTGGACAAATTGATCAAAGGGTTTCGTAAAATGTGATAACAAAACACAAAAGATTAAATAAAATCCTTTTCAGATAATGATGTCACACAGCATGTGCTTGCTTCCTGCCAATGACTCCTTATGTGTGATGTTATCTCCTGATATCGCATGTCATATCACATATGACATCATCTCATGCTGGCTTGAATGAGGACAGAGTTAAATAATGTATGTACATATGATTTTTCTACTTCGTGAATAAATACCATTGCTCTATAACAAATATACATACATAAATTTAGTTTATAAATTGACACTGAAAATAAACGTTATTAAAGATCACAGGGGATACAGATTTAAACCTTAGAAGACGTGTAGTCAAATCTCCTACCTGTCGATGTGGTTTGTGGTCATAAAGACGATGCGGGCCTCAGTGGACGCCACTCCGTCCAGCGCATTAAGAAGTCCACTGAAGGTGAGACGCCCCAGTCCCTGGTAAGCTGAAGGATCTGCATAAATCAGTCATGAGGGATGCCAGGTTGTTTGGACGTCAGAGGTACACAGGAAACGTAGTTCAATTTTGCGTATTTGTTCTCAGTGAAAATAAAAAATAAATTACGACCCACGTGAAGTTTTGGAATACAATTTATATTAAGTAATCATTTAATAATGTTTCCACAGCAGACTATCTGTAAATCTGAGATAGAATTCGTACCCATGCCCACCAAACAATCTAGTTAAACATCAGCACTGGGGAGACAAAGGCTGCCTGGCATGGTTCTGGCCACACCACTCC